CGTTCCACACGCCCATTTTGTTGTGGGGTGTTAACGCATGAAGTTTGAACAAGTACCCCCATGGAAGAATAAAATTGACGCAAGGGTTTATTCACAAACTCAGTCCCATTGTCTGTACGAACAACTTTTATAACTTTCCCAAATTGGGTTTGAATCATTTGGAAGAACTGTTTGAGACAACTAGTAACTTCAGTTTTGTCCACAATAAGAAAAACTCAAACAGCTCTAGAATAATCATCAACAATGGTAAGAAAATAATGAGAACCAGTAGACAAACATGGAGAATATGGCCCCCACAAATCACAATGAATTAAATCAAACAAGGCATCAGCTTTATTAAGACTCGACGAAAAACTAGAACGAGTTTGCTTTGAAAAGAAACAAATGTCGCATGACTGAAAATTTTTAATTTCAGCTGCACTTTTATTAAAAGGAGGCAAGGACAAAACTTGAGGTGACGGGTGACCAAGACGCTGATGCAAAAGAGAGACAGATTCGGCTTTGGATGCCCGGGCGAAAGAAGGAAAGACATAAACTCCATTGCGCACTTCCCATCGTCCAATCTGCGTCTTCGAAGTTCAGTCCTGTATCACACAACATTGGTCATCAAAAAAAACATGACAATTATGAGAGTTGACAAGACAACTCACAGAGATAAGATTGCATTTTAAATTAGGCACATAAAGCACATCATGGAGAACCAAAGCTGGGGATACTTGCACGCGCCCACACGAGTTAGCCATAACTCGAGCTCCGTCCGGTAGGCTAATAGTACAAGGAGGAACGGATTTTATATCCGTCAAATTTGAGAAAACCCCTGTCATATGATGTGATGCACCACTGTCCACAAGGCACTCACAGGGCACAGTAAGAGATGGACCTTGTACATTATCCGACGAAGAGGGTGAACTCAATTAGTACCTCTTGTTTGTCAACTGGTGTGTTGTTATCACGTGGTTCTTTGTGTTCATCATAGTGTGGTTTTTAGAGGAATCTAGTGTTTACGTCGGCGTGTTGTCGGCGTGTTACTCTAACTTGAGAGACCAAAACCAATGGCTATTACCACTTAAATCTCAATAAGTCAAATTTTGAATTTGCAACAGCACGAAATCCAAAATTGCTGCAAAGGACCACCAAACGGATGAATTTGGTGGTGAAGAACAAATCGTCAGATCAAACGGATGAAAAAAAAAGATGCTGTGACCAATTCTAGATCGGGAAATCGCCGGAGTGAAAACCAATAAGCTTCTGCTGCGCAAAGAACAATAAAGAGTCCAATAATTTGGACAGAACAATCGGAAAGACCAATAGGCTTCTGGTCACCGTGAAGCTTCTGCCGAACACACGATCACACACAAACACTCGATCGCCGAAGGGAAATTCGCCGATGGGAAATTCACTGGCCACACACGATCACATACAAACACACGATCGACGGTGTGAGTCGATCGAGATCAGCACCGAAAAAAACTATTTTGCCCAGGGTTTGGCTCCGATACCATGTAAAAATTTAGAGTAAAACTGATCTGATTTTATTAATCACAAGCAAGTGTATATATACAAGTACAAGCGGGCTTAGGGTTATAAGTTGGAAGTGGGCCCGATAAACTAATTACAGTCCAAAACTACAAATACCCGCTAACAGTGTTAGTATCTTGTTGAGAGTAATGTATTTTAGTATAAATTATTTATCTTGTTGAGAGTAATATATTTTTTATCTTGTTGAGACTTGAGAGTAATGTATTTTAGGGTCAGTTTGGCATGTAGAATTGATGGAATTTGAATTGAATTAAAAGTTGAAATTCTATAGAACTGATTTGGAAAGAATTGAATTCTCCAATGTTAATATATTTTTGGCACTGTCAATTCCAAACGTCGTGCATTATTCTTTCGAATTGCAAACACACTCACAGTTCGTGACGTGTATTTCTAACAGTGCCCAGATCGTGTTGGAAGGGAGGACCTATCCACTCTATAAAAGTGCATAATCGTGTTCGGTGTAAAATCAAATTTTGGATTTTTCGAGCTATGAAGTATCATTTCTTACCACAATATATCTTTGTGCTCCTTCCATCCACTTTGAATCTTTCCCGTTTGACTTTAAGGTGATTTTTTAAAACTTTGACTGTATTTATGAAAAAATATATTGGATTTTGATATAAGTTTAAAATCAATAAGTTCAATTCGAAATATAATGTTTGTAATATTAAATACTTATATTCCTTAATGGCTTAATATATATCTATCTATGAATAAATATATTGATGGTCAAAATGCTACATTGAAGAACATCAAAAGTCAAATGAAAAATTTTAAAGGGACGGTGAAAGTATCAAAATTTCGTACAACATTTATCATTTCTTACCCCAATACAAATTTTTTATCTTATATTACGAGTAATTTTTTTAATGTCTGAATGGGAGGGGATAATTGTCAATACTTATGGACTGGGTTAACCTAAGTGTAAGTTTGTCATAACAAAAACTGACTCACCCAACCTACAAAATCATTCTTCAAATTGAAAGGCTAAAAAGTGACTTCACATGAAAAATCAAATTAACTATTAATATTTGTAAATTGTTTTAATTACACGGTATTATAAATATAAAACAATTATTTGTTTTTGAAGGAAAAAAAAATCACATTAATTAAAATGAGAAACAATAAAGTCTGGAGGAACAGATTCCCAAACCCCACGTTGAGCAACCACTCGACGGGCTAACACATGAGCAACACCATTTAGATCTCGACAAACATGAGAGATACAAATTGAACGAAAAGAAGATAAAAATAGCCTACACTCCTCAATAACCAAACCAAAGTACGAGCGAGAATCAGTCCAATAAATATATTACATTTGTTCCAGAGTAATCGTCCCATTTTGTTTTCTCAATTCAAGTTATACAAACTTTGATTATTAATTATATAAAAATTTATATTAGATACTAGTATGAAAATAATTCATTAGATTTATCGTGCTGAAAAATATCAAAAAACTATTTGATTGTGTTCATATGCCATACAAATTTAATTCAAGAATTTCAAACATGACAAATATTCTAAGACAAAGGAAGTACTAAATTACTTCTATATTAGTTAATAGTTATTTTGTTAGTTTTAATTTTATTATAATCAATTCAGTATGTCATGTAAAAAAATAATTTTCTAATCTCGAATTCAAAATTTACTATTGTAGCTTAGGTGTATAAAACTTCCTACAGTAAAACTAACTATATTTTATTTTGTTAATTTTTCATTAACATGAAAGTATATAGAGTATTAAAGATTTAAAAATGTTAAAAGTAACAAGTTTGTGTAGTGTATAAGCTTTATAAATTCACTTTCACTAAGATGTGAAAAGGTCAATTCCAACTGATTAATGTAGAGCGAAAATTTGCTTATTTGCTTTAGTGTAGGGCAAATAAAGAGGGGTTTATGAGCGTGTGTTGCGTGTTGAGCTAGGATGTCAATATAGAATCATAGATATTTCCACTTTATCTCTTTTATCTCAATTCTCAACCCTTTCTTCTTTTCATCTTTTCTGCAGTCATGTTCTTCCTTCAATGGCTTGAGGGTTGGAATTGACCATAGCTGCCAAGTCTCATCACAGTGAGGGGTGCAGTGGAAATTTTGTGATCTTCATTTTTCTCAAAGGCTTCTCAACAAATAATACAAGATGGTTTTACTTTAAATACAAATAGAGTTGAGAAAATACAGACCTGGTTAGAAGTTACAGGTTACAAGTTACAACTTACAAGTAGGCCAAAGATAAGCATAAGAACTTAGGCCAGCAAAACTATGGGGAGAAATATACAAACTTCATTCTTCGTTAGTAGACAGACAAACAACATCAGTTGATGGGGGTGCAGAGGAAGAACCTTCTTGTATACTACTCCCTTCTGTTCCATGGTTAGTTTTTGGCAAGGAAGGCAAACCATTTGTTGACTGGTTTAGACAAGCTAGGTTGTCAAGATTCCTGAGCAACTCAGAAAAGGGAACAGCTTTTGGATCATGGTTGTTGTCATCTGTTCCAGCTGGAGGCAGTTGCTGCTCCTTGTCTTGTGACAAGCTAGAAGACTCAAAATTTTTCGTCTGACATGGAGAATGGTTTGGTGAGCTCGTAGATGACGATGGAGATAGAGAGTTAGTGGCTGCACAAAAACCTTGTCTACCGCTCTGTTTTTGCTGGACTGCGGAAAGCCTTCCGAGAGAATCCTCAAGATTTCTGAGCAACTCCATTGCAGAAACATTAGCGCTCTGTAACGATGTTCTGTTATTGGGTTCAGCGTGCTCCTTGGGTTGTGAACTTTGAGAAGAATCTGCCGAAGGAAGAGGCAGGTCATGGTTGAGTGAGGGCGGATCTGAAGGGGGAAAGTTAGAAGAAGCCAAGGAAAATCTTGAGGGCTTGAAAGATTGGAGGTGGGGCGCTGGAGCCCGGATATCCCCTCTTCGTAGGTTACCGGAGGAAGGTGTAATGGAACAGATAACTGGTGGGTTGTTAGAAGCCCTAGAGGATTTACCAAACATGGAGCATCTTGAAGAAACTGGAGTCTGTTGGCCAGCCACAGGTTGTCCGCCGAGAGACAAAGCAATTGATGGTGATTGCGACCAAACTGCTGATGAAGATTGCTGGCTGCTAGCTTGAGGCAGAGCAATTGTTGGTGGTGGTGTTGGTCTTCTTGGTGATTCGTCAACTGTAGCAGATTTGGACAGAGTTGGCTGGCTAGTAGCTAATTGCTGTCCACCGGAAGACAAAGAAAAGGATGTCGGTCTTGTAATTGCAGGTGTTGAAGTTGGCTCTCCAGCAGAAGATGAAGCATTTAGTGGCGATCTCGTCCAAACCATGGAAGAGTTTCGCTGCCTAGCTGGAAGGGACCAAAACCGTGATGGTCTTCTTGATGATTCGTCAACTGTAGCAGAATTGAACATGGCTGGCTGGCTAGTAGCTAATTGCTGTCCGCCTGAACACAAGGAAAAGGATGGTGGTTTTGTAGTTGCCGAGGCTGGAGTTTGCTCTCCAGCAGAAGAAGAAGAAGCAATTGATGGTGACCGCGACTGAACTGTTGATGGTGGCGGTGGTGGTCTTCTTGGGGATTCAACTGCAGAAGGAGCAGTGGCTGATTCTTGACCACCTGAGGGCAAAGAATGAATTGGCACTCTCGTAGTTTCTGATATTGAAGTTTGCTCTCCGGCAGAAGGTGAGGCAATTGTTGGTGTTCGCGACTGAACTATCGAAAAATTTTGCTGTCTAGCTGGAGGCAAATAAATTGATGATGGTGGTAATCTTCTTGGGGATCCAACTGCATATGGGGCAGTAGCTGATTCTTGACCACCTGAGGGCAAAGAATGGGATGGCACTCTCATAGTTTCTGATATTGAAGTTTGCTCCTCAGCAGAAGGGGAAGCAGTTGTTGGTGGCCTCACACTAGCCGGTACTGAAGTTTGCCATCCGGGTGAAGAGAAGCCAGTGAGGTAGGCAGATTGTAATGTCGGCTGCACTGATAATTGATGTAAGTGCTGCATAAAACTGGTAGGTATTGCTGCAGTGGAACAAAAAAGCACATATTATCTAAAAGCAGATTGAGGTGTGGAAGTATATAACATATGCATGATTAATTCAAATACACTCTTTAAGTGAGTGCTTTGAGATAAACCACAGTTACTTTTTACTCCGTATTTATGAATACATTTTCTTAAAGTACATGCACATTCAATTTTCATAAAGGTTCTTTTGATCTTTCTGGTAAAAAAAACAACTGCATTCAGCCACTAGAGTCCAGGGAGAAGTGTCAATAAAAACTATTTAGTTGGGACTTGGAAAGTTGACGAAAACATCCACACCTTGCCACATAGTCACAATCCTTGAAGGCCTGAGATCCTCCTCGCATTTTATTCTGAAAGTATCAGCCAATAACTTGTTCAAAAGAACTTTTTTCATATTCCCACCAAGTTCGCTCTTTCTGAGTGAATATTTCGTCTCGGATTCCTGAAGTCTGGCATTGTATCTGTTACGAATTTCTGCAACTGTTTCCTGGATCTCCTTTTCACAATCAGATTTAAGCTTGGTTCTCTGTTTAAAGGTGGCAAAAAAGGTTAAGAACTCATAAATACACAGGTAAAAAAAGGAAGCGGAGTAAATCATCATGTTTGAAACTCGAAGATTACCAAATCTTCTTGATTCTTGGCAGCATGCACCATTTCTCCACGTATCCTATCAAATTCATTGTGAAGAGGATCTGCATGCAAAAGCAAATGCTGAATTCCAAGAAGACATCAAGCGGATTGGATCCACAGATATGCCCCCCCCCCCTCGTGTAGGGCCATGATAGTATATTAGAAGGTTATATCAGTATTTGGATAAATGAGAGGCATAGACACAAAATGTAATAACTACTAAGGGCGTGTAAAGAAGAGTAATTAACTCTATGTGGGTAAGGGCCTGCTTCTTTAAATCTGATTTTGATTCTTGAATATTAATTCCCAAAACACCCTCTAGCAAATGAATATAAAAAATATTACCCCGGAGTAATAATCAAACAAGTATGCAAAAACATGTACTGTTTTAGCTCTTTTAGACAATAATTTTCAATGAGCAAATTATCCAACTCTCAAAAGTGATTCTCTATTTTATAGAATACAAGCATTGCCACATTAGAAACATTATAGAATAGAAGCATTGCCACATTAGAAACATATCACTTTCAGAGCTGAAATTTTTATATCTGGTTTTAATGTAGAAATCAGAAATAATGCCAAAACCCACTACCGCATAGCACATTTTCAAACTCCGCAAACCTCGTGAACGTGAATCACCATCATGTGAAGCTTGTGTTGATGTTCCAGTCTCAATCGACTGGGAAGCTCTGGAGGTTTGTAAGTCATAATCCTCTTGAACACAGCTCAGATATGCAACTTCACCATGTATAGAGTGGCCGTTAGCATTAGTAGCATGTTGAGGTTCACAATTTTTGGCCACCACAGCTTCGGAATTAGGCATTTCATGTCTCGTAGCAATAAAAGGCCCCGCAAATCCAGCTTCAATATGTGATGTACCTTGGTTCTCTGATGAATGAGCCCTACTACACTGATTCAATAGATATTATATAATGGCTAGTCATCAACCAAACTTAAAAATAAAAGAATATGTAACTTTGCATAATTAATTGATGCTAAATTTCATGCTAACTTTGTCTGGGTATGGAGGGTCAAGAAGCTAAAAGCAGAGAGGTTGTTTTACTTTGATCCTTGATGCTCTCACTACCCAAAACTTCATAGAAAGTAAGAAGCAATGGGAAGTTAAAGCATTGGCAATAATGACTCTTTAGCTCCATTGGCAATAGACCAAAGATGGGTAATATGAATTATGAAAATGTAATAATATGCATACCATAAATATATTTTAAGAAAGACGGGAGACCACATACTTGATTTTGAGGGGGCAAAACATCATCATCTGAAGAAGCAACTTTGTCGGATGTCTGGTTTACACCATCCCAGTTACTAGCAATGTCTTTCTGGTTGCCTCCCATATTTATCATATTATACTTATTTACAGTATTTTCTTCCACATAATGTTCAAACCCCACAACTACATTTAGAGCATCTTCCTGTACTTCTGCTAGATGATCATATCCCACCCCAAAATCCTTAGGTTGTTCAACTAACAAGATCTCATCAGTAATATGTTCTTCTAAAGGTGGTTGAACCAGATTCTTGCAAGCGTCACCATTCTTATCTGCTTCACAATGCTCCGAAACATTCCCAGACTGCTCATTTCTCTTCATGTTTTGCAAAAATAATTTCTTCAGTGCCCTAAATCTCTGATAAACAGCAGTTGCTTCCTCTTTAGTGCATTTAAACTTCAGACGCTCTTTGGTTAGCTCAAGCATCTCATCCTTGTCAACTTTTTGCTTCAACAATTTACCTGCCATCCAGCACTAAGAAAACACAACATATATGCCATGTAAGAGCTACAACTGCAACCAACGGCATAAATGATGCAAAACTGATCTGCAAGAAGATTGTGCATGTACTTCCATAGAAAGCCTCTTCCAATAGGTGTTCAACCATGTTGCAGTGAAAGATCGCATAAAGATTTACATGAAATTCGTTGCTTTGAGAACTATATATCAAAATTTGGACAAAATGTTAGGATTTCTTTTTTACCTTGTGCTTGTATCTTATGGATGAGTTCAGTACTTAAATGTTCATTTGACTCCCCACAACTAAAAAAACTAAAAGCACACAAATAGATTACCATAGATATTTGGAAGGCTTGAAATATGTTCACTGCCATCACCCGTTCTCGACTAATGCGGTGATTCTTAATGACATACTCTAGAAATTGTGCAGCCATTTTTTTGACATCGTCCTGCATGTGATATCATATTCAAAGATTATTAAATGAAATACGCACATGAAGACCTATTAAAAAACAAATTACGTACAGAAACTATCTCCATGAAATACACACATGATACAAACAACTATAGGAAAAACTTATGTAGTGTTTAAGATTTTAAGATATGCAATTCATAATATCTATTGCATATTTGCACTATTCCAAAATCATGGCAACTTTTTTTTATTTGTGTGTTTCCGGTTTTTTAAGACAGAGGTCTTCTAAAACACTCAATTTTTAAGGTAGGGTCAAGGTTTGTGTACATCTACCCTCTCAGACCCCATTTGTGGGATTGTACTAGGTTGATGTCCTTTCACAAAATGAGAACCCTTACAGGGCAAGATGGCATTCAGTTGGTTAATGTGCTTTTGTTAGAAAATAGAAAATCGGAAAGCAAAAGTTGCATTAAACCTTCAAAGATAACAGCTCTTCTCTATTTTTATTTATTGGGTTCAGAAAGCCAGGAATATGAAGTGGTGGAAATGATTAGCAAGGGATCAATTAACCAAAGAACAAAAAAAGGAGTAAAGCAAACAAAGTTATGTGGGTTATTGTTAAATCAATTGAAATTCAACGTTCAAGTTAGTGCTCAAGTTTAGGTCCTCTCCAAATATCCAATTTCCAATTTCAGGTTCAACTTTTAGTCAAACTTTTTTTTCATATGCTATCCACTATGAAAACTAAAAACCATAGGTTTGGGAAAAGTTGGGTTTTTCTCGTTAGGTTAAAGTCCATTGTTTATTTGTGAAAACATTGTATTAGCCTTTAAATTATCAAGTTGTAATTAGAGAGTTAAAATCAATAAAAAGCATTGTTAACAAAGGCAGATATCATTGCTATGAGAAGGTAATGAAATGCCACTACAAACTGATTACCACAAAAGGGGAAGTCAAGAGAGGTACCGGAAGTTTTAGCACTTCAAAAACTTTTTCCATCTCTGCCTTCAGAAGAATATGAAGACTACTCTGTTTATCAGATAATGTCATTATTTCTGCAGGCTCCTCTTGTGTAATGCCGCCACATAATGAACTAGAAGAATCCATCACAGTAAGTCCATTGTTTCCGTTAGTAGATGCTGGCAATGACAAGTTGGAAGAACTAATAGCAGAGGGCCCTGCACCAACATCAGAAGATTTAGAACTATTTGAGCAATCACGTGTTCGTCCAGAAAATGGATGTCATTATCAACATGAATAGCTAGAGAACAATCAGCAAAAGAATGATACCTTCCTTTGAAGCAGGAATTTGACCTCTTTCACTGTTCATCATCTTATACTTCTTTACTACATTACCTGCAATTTCTGGTGTTTGATCTGATTTACCAAAAAATTGACCTCTCTTTCTACTCCTTGGACTTCTACATCTTATATGTCTCCACTGAGGACTTCTTACCCCCAACAAACTCTTCCAAAAGACACAAGGTTCTTCACCAGTACCATTAACTCTCTGCTTCCCAAATAGTGAAAGATTTGTAGTCAAATGTGAAGAACTATGTGGAACTTTTGCAATAAGAGAACCGCTTATGCCAGCTTTTTCAGGGGTTTCAGAAATTACGGCGCAGAATTCTTTAAGGGCAACACTAAGAAGCAACTGCCCAGATGATAGATGGCTTTCATTTGCATTGTACTCATCCAATCTACAGAACAAATCTGCTGCCCCCCATCTGAGAGTGTCATTCAGATTCCGGTTTAGACTATAGGAGTGATCAGTTTCTTTCTTTGCAATGGCAAGTGCTTGCTCCTCCACCGTAAAACATGAATATAACCGAAAAACTTTTATTTCTTTTGTCGTGGAGTGAAAAGACATTTTTTCCAGAAGCTTCAAGTCATTTGATGGATTAGTATCACTACCATATATGATGACATTATCCACAGAAGACAGTTTAATGCTTGGTTTACAAGCACGATTTTCTAATAATAATACAAATCGCCCATTTTCTACAGAATTGAACCTGCTAAGAGCAGAATCCTTCTTGGACCGCACAAGGATTGAATCAACAAGTTCATAAGAATTTTCTCCAAACCTTTGACTCAAAAAATCCTCTAATATGTTACCAATTGATGGAGTGGTGCCCACATAAGACTGTCAAATGCATTTAAAAATCAACAAGGTAAAAATGAGTAAACAATAACTTTCAACATGAATATCGTGTTCATAACACAATCACAAGAAAATAATTTGCATGCCCAAGTGCATCCAAGCAAATTTGTAATTCGTTGCAGACTATGTAATTAGCATTGAAACAGAGTTCGAGGCTAACAAGATTAGAGTTTATTTACATATAAAAAATAGCTAATTAGAGCAGGCATTCAAACAACACAATTGAGTAGTTGACCCCCCCCCCCCACCCTCCAAACCCAAACAAAAAAATGTTTTCAAACGATCACAAAAATCCATATATATATATATATATATATATATATATAGGGATTGACTCCAGTCAGATGACATGTTTCGGTCAGATGACACTTTCGATCAGATGACAACGAATGCTCATTCTGAATCAATGTAGTGCTCATTCTTAAACAACGTAGGATTCATTCTCACACAACTGTTCATCACAATGTAGTGTTCATNTAACTCCTAAACAATCATTAAATTGTGTGTGTGTGTGTGCAAATTTTGGGTGTGTGTGTGGGAAATAAAGGTCAACTAACCCCCAAGGACCCACAGACATACTTTGGGTACCAAAGTGTTATTCTTTTTTTGCAGGGGCGGTTCAAAGTGAAAAATTCTGGAAATCAGGGGGAACCAGCGATGGGTGGGCTACACCATCGCTGGGAAGGAAGTTTTTTTTCAGAACCCCTCTTCCCATCGATGGGAACTCTCTCCCATCGATGGGTAATTGACTCTATTTTTTTTAAAATTTTTTTAACGGATTTCCAGTAGTTGTCTTCCCATCGATGGGAGAACCTTACCATCGCTGGGAAGCCTGTTGCAGTTCAAAAATCATAGCCGTTGGGCACCTCATTCTATGACCAACAGCCATATTTTTTTAACACCAAGGGCCCAAATCTTGGTGTGCTCCCTTTACTCCTTTTTATTCCGCTCTTTACTTTATCCCTGCGATTTTTATTCCGCGAAAATTTATAAACATTCTCGTGCCTCACTATTCACCCCCCCTCTAGTGAAGGGCACTTATTCTAACAAGAAATATTTGCACTAAATAGCACTAAAATATATGTTATTATTTCCTAATGTAAGACTTAAACTTTTTTATTCTCTAAATAAGACTTAATCATGTCTAGAAGGAGGAATAATGACTAAAAGTGCTACATTGGGAAATAAAAAACATATGACGCTGTTTAAGGAAAGTCATTCTGTTTTAGTGCTATGTACGTAAATTACTCTTAGAAAAAACTAGAAGGAGTTGAAAAATGTTGAAAAAAGTAAAATGTTAAAAAAATAACTCAATTAAGTAATCACCCTAATAAATATGTAAGACAACTAATTTTGAATAAAAAATAATTCATCTTTATCTATATTTGAGATTATATGCTATAAATTTGGATATATGATAATATTATTTATTAATCAAATGTAAATATATTTTTTAGTCATTGTTGGAAGAAACTAGGAGTTGGAAGACATAGAAGAATTTGAAAAAAAATTAGGAGTTGGAAAAAGTTGGAAGTTAATTCTTTCAAGCCAAATAAATATACCCTATATATCAAAACATAATGTAAATTACTCGATTAACCATTGCGCAATTCATCTGGGTGCCTTAACAACTGAGCTTGCGGTTAATAGGCGCACGTATACACCGATCCGCGGAAAAGGATGCCCGTCGGTCTCTGCGGCTTTTGAGGCCCATTGTTGTTCGTAGTTGAGGACTAGGACACTCGCATCGCACGCGGTAAGGGCGCCTGCTGTTGGATATATGAGCCCTAAAGGTCAATGTATAAATTAGTATCTAAATATTTATCAAGAATAAAAGGACCTAAAGATTGTTTATACATCTCGTGTATCTAAACAAGCTTTAGTCCATAGACTTAGCGCTCTAGTAGCATAGATTAGTACTACTACGTTCTGATTGTAAGGCTGTTACATTAATAGAAGCTATGTCTAAAATGTCCTTAGTAGAATATTATGATAATAGTGACGTCATAATGTACTAAGACTAATACGTATGAGACAAGATTGATATCTCAATCTATACATAGGTACATTTCAGGGATATGGTACTGGCATAAGGATACTACATGGGTATTATTTTAAACGTGATAGTAGTATTCTCATTCGACCATTGGTATAACAATCTTTAGACTTGAGGTCATTACTATCTTTAATATGTTGACCTTTATGCTTTGATTCATTTCTAATGTCATCTGAATTACTAGTGGACGTACAGTTTATGTTTTCAGTATATAGTTAAACATATGTAATGGCGTGAATGATGTTGAAAGAATTTATCCCTTCCATTGTGATGAAGTGTAATGTCTTCGGGCCCACTGATTAATGTGATTTGGTGACGAAAGCGGTAAGTCAATAAATTAACCGAGAGTGACTCGGGTCGTCTCACAAGGATTGGCGAAGGGAAGTATTTGTTAATTAACTAGATATTTTAATTTAACAAAGTAATTAATCTTGAACTAGAAAAATTAGAACAATCAAGATTCAAACAGAATGATAGCAATAATAGAATTAATTCAATCAATGATTTAGAAACAGGTATGAATTGAATAGGTATATGGGCTAATGTAATAATCTAGATTAAATTAACTTCTTGATTAATTATATTTTGATTCATTAACTTATCCTATATCTAGGCCTCATTAATGTGCCTAAATATGGTTGGCTAGATTATTTGTCCTAACTCATAGACAAGCCAGGCGAATAATCTCCAAAGATTAATTAATAAATTAGCCAGATATATTAATTAGTTAATCTCATTTTAGAAAACTAATTCAATTAACCAACTAACTTAATTTTGATTAATAACATTAGCTATACCCTTAATTCCGTTCATACCTTAATATAAATTTAGCCATAGAAAGCCATAAGAGCACACAATTTAAAATAAACAATAAAAGATATTTTTATTGATAAAAGAAAAGTGTACAAGAAAGCTTACAATCTCGAAGAATTAAATACAAATATGACGAATCTTTAAACCAACACTCTAGGACTCTCAGAAGAAATCTTGAATTTAAAATGGAGAAAAAGAAGGAAATTTTTTTTGATGGATGAGAGGGGAAAACTGAGGTGGGGCATATATATACCTGGGCCGAGTCACATGCGGGTGGATAGGCGGCCGCCTCTCAGCCCGCCACCGCCGATGTGGAAAAATCTAGAACTGTGGAAACTACTCAGCTCGTAAGTCGACATGCGGGCAAGCTGGCGGGTGGCTGCTAGCCCGCCGGACCCTAAATTCGCTGCCTGTGCGTAGCTTCGCCGACAGAGCCCAATAGGCCATTTGTTTAAACTTGGTAGGCGGCTAGGTAGACGGTTGCCTGCTTGGTCGCTTGTTGTACACTCGGCTCTTTAAATACTATTTTGCTTGAAATTCGATTCTGAACACTTTTCTCTTTTGCTCCAACTTCAAACTCCTTTCCAATAAGAAGATATAAATAATTTCTTGTTGAAATAAAACATATTTTTTTCTTTTCTTGGTCCATTCAATTTTGCTACGCTAAATATAAAAATATAAATTATAATTGAAAAATATTCTTTAATAAAATGAAAAATTATTCTTATGGATAAAAAAAGTGTTAAGTATGAGGATAAAATTACGTATAAAATGAGTTTATCATTTGGGAAGTGTATGGCCATAGCCAAATAAAATATTATATGAGATATTAATGTTATTTCAATTCCACAAGTCAATTTGAAAATGAGTAAAACAATTATTTAACTCTAACAAGGTGACACTTCCCATACCTTGTGTTAAATTAAGATGTTAGAGATAATGGGATAAGAGTTGTACAAATGAGATGTGTTATTGGTGTTGGAAAACATTTTCACTTTGACGTTTTGCTAATGACAATGTTTGTTTCCGTTTAGGTTTTGATATTGACAAACCGTTGGGAACATGGAACAAAACGAAACGATTCTAAGAGATAGAAAAAGGAACAAAAAGCTCAAGAAAGGCATTGACGTTTCTAAAGATGGTGACACTGGCGTTTTGAAGACGTTGTCTAAATACTTAGGTTATTATTGTAACAAGTTCATTCAATTTCTCTAAGTCATGGCTCAACACAAAATATGTTTTTCATGCATCAAATGAGTGTTTTCATAAATGGTTTTAAGTTTATAAAACCCCTGGTTCTTTCCCAACCAAAACCATAACCATCAGTCATCCGGCGTTCAGCTTTCAGAATCCGGCATTCGGTTTTCAGAAACTGGCGTTCGGCATTTGGTTACCGGCGTTGGTTTTTTGCGTCCGAACCAACCAAGTTGTTTTCAATATTTTATGATTGGTTTTAACTTTTGGGCACATTTAAATAGTTCTCCAACAGTTTTAACTTCTGGGCACATTTAAATAGTTCTCCAACAAAAACACTTTAAAAACCACCTTTCGTTTTTTGTCGTTTGTCAAAAACCATGCGAAACGGTATAAACTTGGCTAGCCGTGGTTTTTACTTAAATGACGTGGTTTTTAAGGTGTCTCACTTAATTTCTTAGCCAAATACTTTAAAGAAGTGTTTTAGACACTTGATTTTTTTGGAGAACTTCACTTTTTTCGGTCGGGTTTTAGCATCGGTTGGCTAGGCCATGGCTTAGGCGAAGACCATAGGTTTTTGGACTAGCCATCAACCCAGCGATGGGAGATATTACCGATCCATGGATAAGTGATCCTTTAGCTCAGTTGAAATCCAGAACCATGCCACCCAGCAATAGAAGATATTACTTATCCATGGGTAAGTCATCCTTTAGCCCACCTGGATTCCAGAACCATGCCACCCAGCGATGGGAGATATTACCCATCCATAGGTAAGTGATCCTTTAGCTCAACTGGATTCCAGAACCATGTTTCCGAGCGATGGGAGGATATTACCCATGCATGGGTAGGCATGACCGTTGTAAGGCATTTAAGCCTGATTCTTTCCTTGTTTGAAAGTCAACATCCCATCCAGCGATGGGAAGTTCTTACCCATCGATGGGTAGGTGACCGTTGTCTTTAAAACTGAAGGAAAAATGGCTTACCAACTATGGGTAGATCCACACTGTTAGCCTTGGTATGCTCACTCTCTTGTTTTGATGTTAACAAATAATTTAATTGAGCTAATGTTACCCTATGTTAGAAGTTCATTTCTAACCCCACACTTTTTACATTTCTAGCCAAATGGGTGAGAAATTAGAAGTTCATTTTTTCTTAACAAAAGGTTGATGACTATGTTATTTCTTCGTTCCTTCATAATATGTAGCTTAAACTTTTCCTCTGTAGTTACTAATTTTCTTCCATACTTGTATAATTCAACTTGTTGCTTCAGGGAATGCAACGTTTAAGTGTGAGGAGTTTGATTAGTCCGTTTCGTTCTTATCATTTACATGATATTTTAAATGTTATTGCACGTAAATAATATCTAATAATCTCATAAAATGTGTTTTTAATGACTAAAACTCTCATTTTAGTTCTAAGAGTCATAAAAAGGGATTCCACATCAAATCATCAAAAATCGTCCATTTTATGTTCAAATATTTGAGAAAAAGGGAATCAAGCATCAAAGAATCAAGATTTGGGCTTGAACGAGCTTCCAGAGGTCAAAAATAATGACTGGGGCCAAAAAGGAGTGAAATTGGGCCTAATTCATGAACCAGCCGCGAAGCCCAACGAACCCGGGGCCTGAGGCGTCCAACTTGGACGCTTGGCCATGTTCAACGCTTGGAGTTGGATGCTTCATCTAAATTGCAGTCCAAGAATGACAAGAGGCAGAAGCAGATTGGCCGGGACACGTAGAAAAAGCGTCTAGATCTGGACGCTTGGACTTGGACGCTTTACATCTGACCTTATTAAAACAGCACCTCCTCCCTTCATTTGCATATTCATTGCATCCCATTCCTCCCATATTCGAGTTATATACTCCCCCTCTCTATTTCAGCTTATAGATTAGCAAAATAGTTAGTTTAGAAGTATTCTCGGAGGATTTCAACTCAAGATCTGTTCTACTCCGCTTGTACGGAAGTTGTAAGTTTTCCCAATTTAATATAGTGCTATTTTAATTATTTTTCATAGTATGAGTGGGATTGGGCCCTGTGGGTCTGGACTATTTGGGTTATATACTTTGAATATTTAGTTAATGTTGGAATGATTATTATGAAATTGTTCTTGCCTTTTTTTGTTAATTCATATTGAAAGATTAAATTAGCTATTTATTGAGAAAATATTATACGCTGTAAAGCTGTAGTATCCAAGACAACCAGTTTAATTACGAATCCTAGTAATACGCTAGTAATAGTCAAAATACGATCGTTCCAACTATTATTTAAATGTGCTATAATTAACTAGATGATGTCCTGACCCTAGGTATAAATCTTGCTTATACTATGTGAATACATTTACTTTTAGTATTGCTCTCATTTATTCCATTCAAAGAAGACTTTCATAAACCTATCCTAACCTTCGCCTAATCAGAGATATTAGTTGATTCTCTTTGTCCACTCCTAAAGAGACACAACACTCGGAGAGAAAACTACCCTTTATTGGGAATGTTTACTATCCGGAAAACTACATTTATCAGCGATGATCTCATAGGACAAGTGAGGTAGAACTACATAACTTATGATTATTTAATCAAGACGGAGTTTGTTAGAAATGGATTAATCATCAAAATAAAATAAATAAGAAGAAGAAAAATCAAAAGAAATCAAGAGGAAAGGAACAAAGGTGGAGGACATGGATGCATGTGCGTGGCCTTTTTTGCTTTTGGCATAAATCAAAGGATGTGTCATCCTTTTTTGGCTCTTAGTTTTGGCATGATCTCATTTAGGTATGAAGCCATAAAGAGTGATGTGTGTGTGTGTGTTTGTGGTAAACACACCACTAGAAAGAGAGAGAGGGGGAGAGAGAGGGGGAGGAGAAGAGGGTTTCTACACAAGAGTACCACACGGAAAATCTAAGGGGTCTTGGTGAGTGTGGGCGAGTGTAGGTAGTAACTGGTATTTAGTTACTCAGAATAATACATCTGAGCATAGTGTGTGGAAACATCTATTCATGAGGTGTCTGGAATTTAGCCTCGTAAACCGGGAGAGTTTTTTTTTATATTGTCCTTAAATAGTGGAAGTATACTCTTTTCTCTCATATATTCTTCTTGTATTTATTCTCTTATTTTTCTTGTATTCTCAATTTTTCATTGTCTTAAGTGCTTAAAATCCCAACATTGTGAACGTTGCATTTTTTGTCCATAGTGATTCTTTTTTAAAATTATAGAAGTGCATTTATGCAGTGACATAAAATGAAAATTAATACTACCTCCATCACAGTGTATTCGTCCAGTTTGACTTTTTCGTGTCAAATTGGATATATAAATTTAAAGATTCAATTACTCTCAATTTGTATAACATATTAGTTTAATGAAATATAATTTTGAAAGTTTTCAATAAGATAAATATAATAAAATGATTTTTATACAAAAATACATTACGATTTTAATTTAATTGAAGCTCAAAGTTGATCCAATTTGACTCGAAACAATCAAATCGGACAAATAAACTAGATGAAGGGAGTAGAACAAAAGAAGATTTGTGCCATTATATTGACTTTTTGAGTTACATATAAATACACACATGGAATCATGGATGCATGGGTGAAATTCCATCAGAAGTTTTGGCCCTCGAAGGTTTGGCCAAACTGCCACCCTTTAGGAGTGACGTTATGAGAAGTAATGAATCTTCCGTCAGTGGTGGTGACCCTGAATGTGAGAGCGCTCCCAGCAAGTTTCTCGTCGGTTTCCCACTTCTCACCCCAATTCCGCTTCAGCATTATCCATCTATCCCTTCCTTCTGCTCTCACCTCAACCTTCTCAATGTCTCCTCCTCCCCCCACATTTGTCACTTCTATTAAGTTAAAGAATGGGTTCCCTGTTATCGTGAACTTTGCCCCTCCGCTTCTCTTGCATGCAACCCTGCCAACACTCAATGAAATTAAAATTTGTGAGTAAACATGCATACCTCACCTCCACCTCCAAAATTTAGTGTCCTATTATGGTTAATAGGATTCATTGAATTTATTTAATTTCTAATCCAAATTATTTTTATAAAGGTACAAATTGTTATACAATAATCAAAATTTTAAATCTAAAACCGATTAGATCTGAAACCGATTAAATCGGGAACCGATAAGACCCGAAACTGATAAGACCCCAAACCAATAAGACCCCAAACTAATTCTGTCTTACAATAAACATATTATATTTATGTAAATTAGTGAGCATTTACACTAATATGTGTTAAATATATTGTATGTATTTTATATTGTGATTTTATTTTTGTATAGGTTCCCTTTTATATTATCGTACCATTATTAGGATTACGAATTCTAGTGTATATGGTTGTAATTATTCTTTATTGGTTTATGGAATTGCGCGAAAATTAGAATTCTTCATGGTATCGGAGCTACTCTAACCCTAGTTGCTCTGCTCCCTCGTACGCCGACCTCCATACTGATCTTCTTCTCCTCGCCAGTTTCTTGTCGGTCTCCTTCATGCCAGCTTCTTTTCCCAGTGGCCTTCCCCATTAGTTGTGGTAGGTCATCTCTCTTCTCCCCTTCGTCCACTGTCCATCATATCGACCATAGAAAAATCTTCCTCCCCTTTGCCATCAAACCTTCCACACCTTGCCTTCACCATCATCTATAATTTCAAACTTCATGTCCCCATACAATTTAGCTTCTCTGAGCCCAACTACAAAAAATGGAGTCGTCTCTTCTTGCTCCTTGTTCGTCGGTTCAACCTCCATGGCTTTCTCTCAAATTCCCACATCTCTTCCACCTCTGATGATGACAAATGGTTCTATGTTGACGCTTTTATTCGGGCTTGGAATTGGACCCTGTGATCTCTACTATCACCGATGAAGTTTCTGGTTTGGTCATCTCTTCTACCTCCACTGCGTCTGAACTCTAGCATGTTATTCATGATCTATTTCATCATAACAAACATGCTCGGGCTATGCAACTTGAATATCAATTTCGCACGACCATGAAAGGTACCACGCCCATGGCCACTTAATGTTAAAACCTCAATAATATAGCAGATCGGTTGGATGATGTTGATACCCCATTGTCCGAGCCACAACTTGTGCTTCAATTACTCCAAGGTCTATCGTGGAATCTTTAAGCCCAAACCTCATTTTTACAATTTTAGGACCCACTGCCAACTTTTCTTTAGGCTTGTTCAGCTTGAATGATCCGAAACCAAAATTGAAATGATCCAAAAAGTGAAGATTTGATCTATAACCAAATAGCCAAAATGATCTGAACTAAATTGAAACCAAACTAAATATATTCATACCCAAATAGATTAATAATTGATCATGATATTCAATAATGATATTTGCTGATTCTTCACATATTGTGTGATTATATATTAATGGATGCTAGTCTATGAGTTCGCTCTAGCGTTAGATACTTCCGCGCTCAATAATTTTTGCAGGTATGGATCAAGGATTGGATGAGAAACCTGGAGGATAGTGAGGCGTGACGCTAATGGATGGTCATAGCTGTTTTGTTTTAATTAAAATATTCTGAGGAAATGTTTACTAAAAATATAAGAATGTTGAACATTGTTTTTTAAAGGCTTTCACAATGTTTGATTTTGTTTACTGTCATTAACTTATGAATTGTTTCTCAATAATTATGAATGAATGTTTTAATTTTAATGTCTTTTAAAAATATTGTGCATGTGAATACCAAATAAGTAGCAACCCGATTCACTAACTCGTTGGTTCGGGTTACGCGGGTTGTGGTGTTACGTTTTGCTTGAAAACACAAATCAAATTCTTTTTTTTACCTTACTTCTTTTACTGCTTAAGTAAAAATCATTTTAATACCATCATTAAAGTTGATCAATGTGACAATGGTACCGAATATCCTCCACTTAAAGTATTTTTTTAATCATTAGGCATTTTGTTTCATTCTTCCTATCCGCACACCAGCCAGCAAAATGACCGAGCAAAGCACACCATTCTACAAATAATAACACCATCCGCACCCTCTTTCTTCAGGCCCAATTTCCTCCCAAATTTTGGGTCAAAGTCCTCCACATAGCAGCCAACACTTTCAACCTTCTTCTAACCACTACCCTCCTAAAACACACACCACACAATACTTCATGAATCCTAAGCATGTTACTCTCACTTACTTTTTTTGGTGTCTCTGCTATCCCAACTTTTCCGCTATAGCTCCTAACAAACTTTCCCCATGCTCAGCTCGGTGTATCTTTCTTGGCTACCCCTCCAACTAATGCGGGTATCGTTGTCTTGACCTTCGAACTAATAAAATAATCATCTTCAATCCCATCATGTTATCTTTGATGAATCCACTTTTCCCAATTCTCACATCACCTTTACCACTGACATAAATTTTCTTGACTCCACGGAGGAGGACGCCCTGCAGCCATCAACTGCCTACCCCCACTCCAACGACCCAGTTCTCTCCCCTCTACGAACCACCTCCCCAACCCTAGATCAACACACCCCTCTTCCCACTGACACACACAACAAACCAAAAATAGTCCCACCCCATGACTTTACCAACCCCAACCCACCATATCCACCCGCTCCAAATCAATACCCCATGGTCACTCGCTCCAAAGCTAGCATCTCACGACCAAAATAAATCCTCAATCTTAACACTACTGCCCATATCTCCCCCTTTCCGCGAACATACCATAGTGTGCTCAAAGATCCAAACTCGCATGCTACTATGTTTCATGAGTTTAATGCTTTGATAAAGAATGATACATGGGAATTAGTATTCCCCTTCCCCCATCAAAATAGTATCACTGGTAAATGGCTATTCCATCATAAATTAGCCCCCTCCGTAGAGTTAACCAAGTACAAAACTTGATGGGTGGTTTGTGGATTCAACCATCGATTTGAAGTTTATTATGATGAAACCTTCAGTCTCATTATCAAATTGGCTACTTTTCATATTGTACTCAGCATTGCTCTCTCACGGGGTAAGCCAATTCATCAACTTAATGTTAAATAAACTCTTCTTCATGGGACTCTAAAAAAGACATTCTATGCCTGCCAGCCTTCTTGATTTCAAGATGGAACTAGACCACACTATCTCTACAAGCTCGAGAAGGCTCTATATGGTATTAAGTAGGCTCCCCTCTCATGCTTCCATAGATTTGTAGGTTTCATTCATACCTTGGGATTTCATGGTTGCAAGTCTGACACGCCCCTTTTCACTTTCTCATATGGGACAGACATGGACTATTTTATTACTTCTCTATGTTGGTGATATTATCCACACTACTTCCTCCCCCGCCCTTCTTCAGTGGCTAACTCAGAAGTTTAAGGTTGAATTTTCCACGACTAACATGGGGAACATTCATTTCTTGCTTGGAATTAATGTACAATACAATGTGAATTGGCTTTTCTTACATCAAACGCGGTTCACTCATGAAATTCTTGAGCGGGCCAAGATGGTTTCTTCGCGCCCCATCTCCACCCCCATCGACACAAAATCTAAGATTTCTATTGCCTTTAGTTACGTCATTCTAGATATCACTTATGTTGTTCATGCATCACGAGACAATCATCTCACTGCCATGAAGCATGTCCTGCGTTACCTTAGCAGGACTGCTACTCACTGCATCTCCCTGTCTAGAATTAATTACTTACAGGCTTATTCTGATGTAGATTGGACTGGATGTCTTGATACCCGACGATCCACATCTAATTATTGTGTCTTTATTGGGGACAACCTTGTGTCTTGGTCCTCCAAATGGAAAGCTACAACTTTTTGCTTCAATATCAAGGTGAAATATCAAGAAGTAGCCAATGTCGTTGCTAAGACCAGTTAGATCTGGAATCTTTTGCTTGAGCTTCACTAGCCCCTGTTTCGTGCAACCCTAGTTTTCTATGACAACATAAGTGCGATTTAGCATATTGAGGTTGACATCCACTTCGTTCGCGACAAAGTTTCTCTCGGCCAAGTCAAGGTGCTTCATGTTCCGTCCTCATCTCAGTACACATATATTTTCAACAAAGGACTCTCGTTTCTACCGTTCTAAGATTTCACAGACAATTTTGGAATTCGTCATCCACCACAATCCACGTAGTCGGGAGCATGTTAAATATATTATATAGATTTAATATTGTGATTATATTCTTGGTAGTATCCTTTTGTATAGGTTTCCTTTTATATTATCCTACTATTTATAGGATTACAAATCCTAGTATGTATTGTTGTAATTATTGATTTTTGGTTTAGGGAAAATCATAATTCTTCAATGTTATTTTTAATTTTTACTTTTATTTTACTATTTGAACTAGTTATATGCTTAAATTACTTAGTCCATATTTTCCAAAATGAATTACCATATCTAAATATAATGCAAAATTTCATATCTTTTAAATTTATTTTATTTATAAATTGATATAGAAATGAACAATACAACTTACAAAAAAATTAGTTAAAATTTATACAAAGTAAAGAACAGTTAAAAAAGATTTATTTTCTATATATGTGCTTTGAATTGCATTTAATTTCACTCAAATTTTACCTAATTGCATTCGATTTAACTCAATATATGAGCCGTATCTATTTTGACCTTAACCGGAAAAGAAAAATGCATGGAACCGTATTAAATCTAAATTAAAATTAGTCAAACTGATCCGAATAAATTCCAATCTTGAACCGATGCGATTGGTCTTATTGTCACCTCTATTTTCAACAACACATTTTCATATTCCTTAAAATTTATGCCAAAGTAAATTAGGAACCTTTTTTTGTGAAGAATGGAGTGTAATTCTGAAAAAGACTATGAAACATCAACATCCATTATAATGCCAAGTTGTGGCAGTGAATTTTGTCATTGATCCTATTTAATACTCCCTCTGTTTTTTAAAATAGTTCATCTTTCATTTTCTTCTAAACACCTCCGTTTTTGTAAAAACATAACTAATATATCTAAATAAAGTCATTGTTATATACTCTATACATTTTCCATTGATAGAATAAGTTACTTAAGATATTTTTTATGCTAAAGATATAATTAAAAGGTAAAATTATTAAAACAAATTTGTCACAAGCCTAAATAAGAACGGTTTTAGCAAACATGAATAGAAAAAACCATTACATATCTTCTTTTGAAGTATGTTTACATTGCAGTTCCGTAGCCACGGGCTTACAGAACCACTCCGGTTATTAGCACCTATTTGGAGCACCCCCAGTGCTCTGTTTGCAGAATTGAACCATCAAATTTTGTGAACGGAGCACTTAAGGTACTCCATAAATATAGTGGTGGCCGCAGTATCTCCCTATGCGAGGGACTACACACCTTTAAGTTTAATATTTTAGAATTATTTAGGTAAATTGAAATTTGTCCTATAGCATGAGGAAATTAAAAGGTGCATAGTGATGTGTACGTACTTCCGATAGTGGACAGGGACGACACCGGCTTTATAGTCAGCAATTTGGAGAAAGGCGGGCTGAGACAAATCGAAATGTTTCCTGGGAGGATTGCACCAGGCGTTGGTGGCGCCCCAATTAGGAGGGCAAAAATCGGTGGCAGTCACTACGATGGTGTTCCCACCGGGCTTGCAGGATGCGCTGTTCACGCACATTATTTCGTAACAAGCTCCGCACCTCTCGGCATTTTTGAACAATGCAGTGCTTAATGCTGTCGTGTATGCCCCATAGCTCTCTTTGTTGTCTTCGTACCCACATGCTCCGCCTACACCACACTCACACACACACACACACACAAATATATATGAGAACAGTGCATTTTCAGAATATGAGAATAGTGCATTTTCATACTTTTATAATGTAGTTTAAGCTTGTAGTAGTGCTTTTTTGGAAAGTTTAATATATTTACAAAATTTCCACCACGATTTTTTCATTTTCTCATTTTTTTTTATTTTTAATTACCCGTAGATCTCAAATATAGTGGATTATATGTATCCTCATTTTTTTTCACTTTGCACCATTCTCATTTGAGCCAAAATATGTATAGACACACACAAACACATGCCCAGATCAACAGCAGCTCGTTGACAGTTGCACAATTTTTGCTTAGATGGTGGTTATCTTTTAATAGGACAAGTTTTAAAGTTAATCTCAGATTTATTTTACTGGGAATCATCATTTGGTCCATTTCGAAAGAACTACAAATCTAACTTATATTCGAGAGGCAATTGGAAACGGGAGGAACTAATGGCATCTATCAACAAACTTCGTCATACGTGGTGTTGGGCACACAAACTTGATACAACATTTTTGTACAAGTCTTCTATTCTTAGGCCCAATTCTGTTCAACTTATTTTTTTTTCTTTTTTCTTATTTCTTATTAAAATTATATCAGATCAGATCATATTAGATCTAATCAAATCAGATCAGATCTAATCAGATCAGATGAGATTCAATCAAATCAGACCAGATCAGATTTGATTTGATTAAGAATTATTATTAATATATATATATATATATATATGTTTTAGTTGTGTATGTATGTTTTAGCTTTGAAACTTCTCAATTTACCTTAAAGGGTCAACTTTTTATAACTTTGATAACAAATTACAGAAGAATATATTAAATTTTAATATAAATATAATGTTTATAACTTCATATTGAAATATAGTTCTGAAAGATTAAAATTTTATACTTCATTTAACAAAATAGTTCAGCCCTAACTTTTTGCTATCCCACAAAATACTTTTACCATACGTATGAAATATCTAAAATATCCTAATAAAACTTTTTCTCGCAATAAAAGAGAAATAAGGTTTACAATGAGAATTTTAGGTCGCGGTAAAAGTGCTTTGTGGAATGTACAAAAAGTTATGTTGGAAATGTCTTGTGAAATAGATGGAATAATATCTATCTATCCATCTATAAATATAGATATTGATTGTCAAAGTCCTTCATTGAAGACCATGGGAAATTAGTTAGGAAGATTAAAAAAGGATGAATAAAATATGTATTATCATCTCTCTCAATAAGCACCACTATTTGTTTTTGTCTACGCGTGTACTATGCATGTATAAACATGTTAAATCATACGTTAATCCGCGGGTCTGATTTCTTAATAATTATTGATTAAGTATTGTAATTGGGACTATATACATACACTAGAAAATGCAATATCTGTAGGTTGATCTATATATGAACCTACCAATGGTTCCCTCCGGGGGACCGTAGAAGGTGGCACGAGCATTTTTCCATGCACCTGACTTTGCAAATGTGTGTGGCAACACAAGAAGGAATAAGATTATCAACAATGAACACGACATGGATCGTAGTCTTTCTTCCATAATGATGTGCTTTGTAGTGACGTTGATGGTTTAGATCTTTACTAATTACTTATTTATTATGTTCTTGAGGTCATAAATAAAAGAACAAAAAGGGAAAATACATATATTTTTCTTTTATATGAGCCGAAAAACAATGCAGTTTGAAGGAATATATTGATACATATATAGCCCCAGAATTGGTGCTAATTATCCGGGCTTTATTATTCCTCAAATTCAAACCTTCTTTCTTATGTATATATAGAAAGGATTCTAATGATCATCTTAGTTGGTTATGTAAAAAAGAAAACTAGTGGCTGAAATTTAAGGGGGTTGTCATGGGTATGAAGTTTTTGTGATCACACGTGAAATCAGTTTAGCCATAGGAAAAGTTAAACCCAAAATTTAGTAGAGCCTTATTTTTATTTTTTTTAATAACATAGGTTGATTCATTTTGAAATGTTTTAAATTACTCTAGTGATTTTAAATCATTGCACTAGTTGTGATTAAATTTATATGATGTAATTATACTTCTCGATCATAATCTATAAATAAATTAAACATGTTATGAAGTACTCCGTATTATTTAAACAATGTTAAATTGCACAATTGGTCTTTCAAGTTATTGCAATATTGTGTCATGCATGGTATGTAGGTTCTTCAACTTGGAAAATTCAATGAATAGTTTTTTGAACAAAATGCACATAATATTAACACCTCACACCCAAGTACATGATAGGAGATCAAAAGAGAGAGATAGCAACTGCCATGATTCAAGAACAAAGCTAGAGGGATATAAAAATAAAACAATCTAGGCCCTCTCACCTTTAGCAACTATCCGTATAAAAGAACAAGACTTACAAAAATGGAAAATCAATCAAAGCCATTTCCTTTAGCATTCAAGAAGGTACAAACGTGGAATTTAACCCTTTGAAATGTTTCTTCATTAGAGGACAATTTATTCTTGTATAGAAGGGTGTTTTGGCCCTCCAAATGAAGTATACAAAAGCATTGAACACAAAAATGATTTTTAATCTATGGCTAGTCTGGATAACTTTTTGTAGCCTCTCAAAAATGTCTCCCACCGAGACCCCCTCAAACCTGTAACGAATCCAATCATAAACCTTCAAGTAAACTTCATTAGTATATTGGCATTAACATACAAGACGCTAGAAGTCTTCAACTTTGGACTTGCAAAACATACAAAGGGTATCAATAGGAATGTATTTACTGGTCCTTTGTTTAGTTTGCAACCTATCCATTCAACACATAGTTCTTCAAGGCTTCAAGTCACGTTAGCATTACACAGTTGCTCCTACTATTAATTTTTCCGTTACTTCCTTCATTTTTTCAATTTTCATTATTAATACATGTGAGAAACTCTCTCTTTTTCATACAATTAAGTCATATTTCATGTAGATCCATTTAATAATAATAATAACAATAACAATAATAATAATAACTCTTACTTTTTCATACAATTAAGCCATATTTTACGTACTTCCATTTTTTAATAATAATAATAATAAATTAATCTTGCTTTATTTAGTTATATTGAATATATAATGACGCACAAAGAACCAAACTACTCGTACTTTTATTCGTGAAAAAGTTAACAGAATGACCAACCACACGGGTGCAACGCTAGTAACTTCAATCAAATTTAGATGTGATTGCAAAACATGCTAGATTCTGTTTTTCTTCCTGTGTTATTTTCAGCTCGCCTTTGTGTTGGATAATTGTCGGGTATATGTGATTCAATCGTGACAAAGATTCGACACTCAAGATATTGGATCTGAGATTTACAAAGCCTTCATTATCCAATCCCATCACGAACTGGTGCACCTCTTCTCTATCATGTTGCGTCTTTTGAAGCGTGTTTATGCCACACATGCACATAGGATTTTTTTCATGATCATTTAATTCACCCAGGTTCCCTTCAGTTTACCGAAGTCATGGCCGGCTCAAGCCAAGGGCAAAATGGCCTCTTGGATAGGGCCCAATTGTAGATGGGGCCCATTTTTTGTAAGTGTACTACATATATTTATTTATTACTCCGTATTTAATTATTTATATTACATTTTTCGTCTCAATTCATTTTATTTGAAAATTAGTGTAGAATTTAAAAATAATATTTAAAAAATACATCAAAAGTCATATATCAACCAATTTGATCTCAAAAATGCTAGAAAAACTTTAAGAATCTTTGGCTAGTTATTAAGGTATGTAATTATAGATTTATAAGACTACACATTTGACTTTTTATTATTTTTATTACTATTGTACAGAGTAATTTTTTAATTATTAAAAAATGTAATTTATAGATTTTGCTTCATTATGACATGATGACCGATTTTCTTGGTGTTGTCGAGGGCCAATAATTTCTCGGAGACGGCCCTGACCGAAGTATGCCACAATGGGCTTCCTTTTCTACTTATAGCTTCTAATTTCTTTCTTGAGTTGAGTAATCTGTGGCCCATTATAATTGACCCTAACAACTGGTATTGAAGCTAATACGTAGAGTCAACATGACTACTAAAGGAGTAGAGTTCGAAGCTTCGAATCGAGAAGTTTGATGAATCTGATTTCTATTTCTACAAGAAGTAGATCAAAGACTATCTAGACCAGAAAGATCTTCATGAACCCTTGACCGGGGTGAAGCCAAATTCCATGACGGAAGAGCAAGGGAAGGTCAAGGTTTGCCAATGTTGGGGTTAATCCGGTTGACTTTGTCAAGAAATGTCGTGTTCAACATCCTGAAGGAGAAGACTACATCCGGTTTGTTGAAGGTGTGGTCAAACATGTACCAAATACATCTGCAATGAACAAGGTATATTTGATGCGTAGATTGTTCAACTTCAACTGACATATGTCTAAATTGGTATCGGAGCCTAACTCTCTTCAGACTTCACCATTTGAGAGGAATAAGATCATGGGCTATTCTTCTAGAAATTTGAATGCAGAAATTGGTGATGGGCAATCCACTTCAACCCCATCACTCTTCGATGACACCAACTACACCTATTGAAAGGAGAGAATTAGAGTCTATATTCGTTCCACAAACTTCCAATTGTGGTTGGTCATTAAGAACGGCAAGTGCTGGTGATGGAAGTAAGAGAAACAACCGTCCCAAAAACCAGAGAAGAATTTGATGCCGAGGACATCAAACGATTGAAAAATATGCCAAAGCCATAAGCACGATCTACTGTGCAGTCAACCCAGGCGACTATGGCAAGATCTTGTGTTGCTCCACCGCCAAGGAGATGTGGGACAAACTTGATGTCACCTATGAAGGTACGGACCAGGTATGTGCAGCTAAAATTGATTTCAAGACCCAAGAATATGAAATGTTCAAGATGAAAGAAAACGAGATGATCAAGGACATGTTCGATCATTTTTCAAAGATCTTCAACGATCTTCAAGCCCTAAAGAAGACATATGCCAACAAGGATCTATTGTAGAAGATCCTACGAAGCTTGACATCCAAATAGCGTTCCAAGGCCGATTCCATATATGAATCAATTGGGGTCTCCAACATCACTATTGTTGGATATGTGAGCCCTAGAGGCCAATCTATGAATAAGTGTGAATATTTATCAAGAATAAAAGGCCCTAAAAATTTTTTTATACATCTCGTGTATTTAAAAATGACTTTAGTCTAGAGACTTAGTGGTCTGGTAGCATATATTAGAACTACAATGTTCTGATTATGAGATTGCTACATTAATGAGGTTATGTCTAAAATGTTCTTAGTTGAATAATATGATAGTACACACGCCATAATACACTAAGACTAATACGTATAAGATAAGATAGTCATGTCTCATAGGTTATGTATATTGCGATATCTTAATCTATATGTAGGTACATATAAAGGATATTGTACTCGACTGACCCACGATGAGAATACAACATGGGTATAGCTTTAATGTTTTTGTAGTATTCTCATTCAACCATTGGTATAACTATGCTTAGATTTGAGAAATTACGATCTTTAATATGATGACCTACATGCCTTGATTCATGACTAATCCCATCTGGAATACTGGTAGATGTACAATTATATTTTGGATATGTAGTTAAGCATATGTAAAGGTTTGAATTTCGTAGAAAGAAATTATCCCTTCCATTGTGATGAAGTGTAATGTCTTCATGTTATGTGACTTGAGAAGTGTATAACCGTACCCATATAAATTAATATATGTGATATTAATGTTATTTGAATCCCACAAAAGAATGTAAAAATCAGTAAACCATTAACTTGACTACAGAAAGGTGACACTTCTCACACCTTATGTTAAATCAAGATATTAGAGATAAAGGGATAAGAGTTATACAAATGTAATGTGTTGTTGGAGGTATTGTTGCAATGAACATTATCCTTATAACATGGGTAGCGATAATGTATTGCTAGATACCGCTTATCGTTTATAATATTAATTTTGAATTAATATTATTGCCAATGTTATGAATACCTAGAAGGGTCACACACATAGAACAATTGAGCGGAGTAAAGTATTAAATGAGAATAATATTAAATAATATTTACGTGTGACATAAGTATGTTTGGAACTATGCTTGGATAGAGCAGTGGAAATATAAAATTTTGATGTCCAAACGTAGATCCACCCAAGATCCCTTACAAAAACTATGAGTTATTGTTAGAACTATACGTTTCTTGACGAACAAGTCACAACGTGTGGCCGAAGGGATTGGTGAGCTTTAACCACAAAAGTATATGACCTCTAATGCGTACACACGAACTCTGAATGGTGTTCTAGAGAAATGTTATGCTAGTAATTTTTCTCTAGAATATTTCTTAAAATATAAAATATTTGGAGTAAAGAATTAAAAGAACAAAACAATTTAGTCTCTTTTTGGGGAAGGGGGCCGAAAATCTCTTATCACAAACAAGGAAAGAAACAAAATCTCATTCCTACTTTAAGGCATATTTTCGGCCCTACTACTATTGGTAGCTTCCAAACTATTTTGTCAACTTTAATTATCATATAATTAACACAAAATCAATATCATACATGTTTTAATATATTTTATACAAAATATATATAAGTATAATATGTGTGTGTATATATATATATAAATATATATATATATATATATATTCTTTTTTTTATATAATGAACGGTCGGTTACAAGAAGGGGGCCCGAGGCCCGTTAACCTCGTGACTACCCCAGGGCCCGTTAACACCCGAGATAGATAGTCCACTATAGAAAGCCCAAAGTAACTCAATCTAAATCCCAACCCCATAAGCCCAAATCTACTTCCCAGGGGGTCACCCATCATTTCTGCTACTCCATGCCAACACGCTTAACTCTTTAAAATTCCTCCAAATTTGCATCTTCTGGGGATCGAACCCGGGTGGTGTGGTTCGCCAATCAATCCTGTGACCATCTCTACAGGGGGGAACCACACACACACATATATATATATAGATTTTGGTTCAAGTGAGAATGCGATCTTATGAAAGAAATAAGAATGAATCTGGTGCTTTAGATTATGAGATCTAAGGGTCAAGATTGCATCAAAATTAGGTGCACCAAAATGGGTTAAAAATGCATCATGTCGAAATGCATCAAAATCCTTTGAAAATGCACTATCTCAAAATTTGAGTGCAGGATGCAATCTGAGCCGCACGATGCATCCGATCCAAAGGCTAGATTTTATTCTTATTTCTTTCATCAAGGTGCATTCTTACTTGAACCAGCCCCTATATATATATATATATATATATATATATATATATATATATATATATATATATATATATATATATATATATATATATATATATATATATATATATATATATAGGGATTGACTCCAGTCAGATGACATGTTTCGGTCAGATGACACTTTCGTTCAGATGACAACGAATGCTCATTCTGAATCAATGTAGTGCTCATTCTTAAACAACGTAGGATTCATTCTCACACAACTGTTCATCACAATGTAGTGTTCATTCATATCCAGCGAGACGACAACATAGGGTTCATTTTGAATCCACGTAGTGTTCATTCTAAGACATTGTAGGGTTGATTTTCACACATTTGTTCATTATAAACGTAGTACTCATTCTGAAAGAACCTAGTACTCATTCACAGTCTGCTCAGTGCAGTGTTCATTCTGAATTAAGGNGTCAGATGACAACGAATGCTCATTCTGAATCAATGTAGTGCTCATTCTTAAACAACGTAGGATTCATTCTCACACAACTGTTCATCACAATGTAGTGTTCATTCATATCCAGCGAGACGACAACATAGGGTTCATTTTGAATCCACGTAGTGTTCATTCTAAGACATTGTAGGGTTGATTTTCACACATTTGTTCATTATAAACGTAGTACTCATTCTGAAAGAACCTAGTACTCATTCACAGTCTGCTCAGTGCAGTGTTCATTCTGAATTAAGGCGGTGCTCATTCTCAAACAAGGTGGTGCTCATTCTGATGCATGTCATCTGACCGAAAGTGTCATCTGACTGGAGTCAATCCCATATATATATATATATATATATATATATATATATATATATATATATATATATAATGTGAATGGGGGTTCTCTTTTTGTTTTGTTTAATGGGGCAGAAAATAGAAGTTTGAGTAGACAAGTTCAAAAGATTGTACAAAAATGAAGTGATGAATAATGGATTCTAATACCTCAGTCTATATAATCAAAAAGAGCATTGATAGGTTTAGTAAACAACAGGAAATGTCGTTTTAGTTAGTTTTTGAAGAAAGTGTAAGTATCGAAAGCAGAATATGTAAACACGTACGACCAGCATCATGCGTCCGTCACAATTTCTGTTACAAATTGAGAATTTATGAGGTAAAATGTTATGACTTTCAAAATCATTTTATTAATAAATTAGTACATGTATAAAAATAAAAGTTATATATATATTAAGAAATTACTTTAAAAAATTTACATAACAAGAGGCGATGAGAGTTAGTTCAAGACATCAAATGAGCTAAAAGGGTCATAGTATCTTTTCATGTGTAACATGTTATGTGACTCCTTCCATGAATATGTCATCTTAAATTTATACAGCACTTGAAGCTGAAGTAAAGGCTAGTTTTCTATGGAGTCATAAAACCTTGTAGTCTAACTTCACCCTGGGAGGGAACTCTTGAGATTTGAATCAAGTTGGAGAGCATAAGCGAAGGTATTTTTACTGCCCCGAGAGAAATTGCTAATGAAGCTCCTGGCCTAACCACATATAAATACCCAATTTTAAAATTTTCAAAATTCATGAGGCACAATATCCACTGCTTAATGAAATAAACACAAAGTTATTAAATCTGAATAAAACAAACAAGTTGGAGGATTGTAGCGTCTTGTACTTTTTCCCATATTTCAGTTAGGTCAAGTTCGTTTTGGAGGTTGCGTATGGGGTGAAGAGGGGTTACTCCTTAATCTTAAAAGTACTTTCACTTAAACTCCTGAGAAAGGGATAAAGAATTATATTCTATACACACACCATGTATATAGTACTACATTAGTACACAAAATTACGAATTCAGTATGCTAGGCGTGGTTTACCCTTGAATGAAATGATGAAAGTAAACCCGTAGAGAATCCACATATAAGAACAAAAAAGATGATCCGATATTTGAGCTACGTTTTTACCAATTTATCTAAGTGAATGAAAGAATATGATCCTAGAATCGAATATTAGTGTTGAATATAAGATTCATTGAATCATAGTACCGGTTATTTTTATGAACAATGTGAAATATAGGTTCAAGCATCATTTATGAGGAGGCATAGCATACATATCTGGAGGCAGTTTTTCGTTTTATCTCGAATTGGCAAAAGAGGTTGATGATTTTCTTTAGTTCAATTAAAAAGATAAGAAGTGAGTTATGATTAGTTTTCATTTTCAATTTTTTTTTGAAATTTTTCAGTATGTGCATTTGTAATATTTTAAAACAAACATAAGAAAAAAGACATGTAACATTTGTGTGAAGGGTTTAAATGACAATAATGATGGACCGTAAGAGATTGGAATGAAGATTAACATGCCTTTGTAAGAAATTCCTAGCATTATTGTCCTTCGTAAGATTAGATGTTCTTTCATTATCCAAGCTTGACTTCGTAAGAAAGGATTCTGAAGTTGATATGTATATTTATTTAAGCTTAATCGCGTACAAAAACAGTAAATATTTTTAGAGAGTTTTAGTTTGGAGTTGGAAGAGATAAAATAACCTGAAGGAGACAACCAGATGCAATCATGGAAAGCTGAGGATTTGTTCTCCATGTTTTTCTTCTTCCAAGGAAACACTGCAAGTTCTAAATTTTATTACATAATACTCCCTGTGAAAGTAATTATGAAGGATGGAGCATAATTTATAAGGCATAACTGACCTAATTACACAATGAAAAAAATTCATGCTTTTGTATTGATTTTCTATATAAAAAAAGATATTCCAATGTTACACTATTTTATTATGCCACATAAATGATTGTTCTATTAAAATTAGTGTGATCAGAAAACTTAATAAAAGAAACAATGGAACAACACTAATAATAAATGACTCATATAGTAAACAATGGTTTCTAAAATAACCATTGAAGCCTTTAATAAGGACCAATAGGATAAGATTTAGAGTGATAGTGAGTACTTCCATATGGGAAGAATGAATGTCAGAAAGTTACTTTAAATTTTTATACGGACCTAAGTCATCAAACTCCGTGTCCAAAAGCGCAAGTTGAAGCTTGAGTCATTGTAGTTGTCCTCTGGTTAAAAGTGCAATGGATGGTGGTGGCTTATGCTACCGGGACACTGTATGACGAAGAAGACCTCTGGCCTCCGCAGCAAATGCATGTACTTGAGCTTGAAGTTGTTGACCGGTGGCATACATCCTAAGCGTTGTTGCCATCGCAAAGACACCAAGCATCAACCATAGCTGCAAATCCTGCAATGTACTCCCTCCGTCCGGGAAAGATGTTCCCAATTTGACTTTTGGTCATTTTTAGTGAATGTTGACTATGACATTAAAATGTCCAAAGTACCCTCCCACCTTCCTTGTTTTGCCCCCACCACTATCCTACCCCAACCCACCGCCACCCAACGTTTTCCCAGCCCCCATCGCCCAACAACTGCATCACCGTCGTCTTTATCCTCGCCATTTCCTTCAGCCCTCACTACAATAGGAAAGAGAAAAAAAAAAGGGGAAACAAGACGAGAAGAAATAGATCTAATACAAATGTTGTCTGCTTACCATTGCCTCCGTCTCCTCTACCATCGCTGCCAGCCTCATAAATCTAACACAGATCTAGAAGAAGAAGAGGAAGAATAAGGGGAGAAAGAAAAGAAAGTCGTAGATCTGAGGGAAGATAAATTAAAAGAGAAAGAAGGAGGCCAAGGATGAGAATTAGAAGAAGAAGAACGAGAGAGAGAGAGAGAGAGAGAGAGAGAGAGAGAGAAGTTGAAGATGAAGGGGGGAGAGGAGAGGAGGAATAGGATGAGGAGGAGGAGCTGGAAGAGAAAGAGACCCGGGATACACTTGAAATTATGTACGACCCGGGATATAAACCAGGTCCATTGATTACTTTTTGATAGATGCTTGATGATATAAGAATTAAAGCTAAAAATCAAAACCTAAAGTAGAGCGCAAAACTGTCAATTCAAAGGCTTTCAAACAAATCAAAGGCCAGATACACTTGAAATTATGTACGACCCGGGATATAATTGATGGTTATGCATTGGATTGGGTTAAACTTTTCAATGCAACGCTCATATATGCGGTAAAATGAAATACCCTTTTATTAATATTTGCCACACATAGCTATATGTGCCTAAATAAGTGCGGTCAGATCCAAATTTTCTTGTAATATATATATATATATATATATATATATCTTCCTTCTTCTACATCGAATCCCATTCCAGAATCACCAAAGTAGGGGGAGATGAGTGGAGCAGCTGTTGGAGAGAGGGGGTCAACTACTACTAAAACACCTGTTGATTTTCTAAAGTCAATCTGTGGATGACCCGTGGTCGTCAAGTTGAACTCGGGTGTTGATTATCGAGGTATTTTAGCTTGTTTAGATGGATACATGAACATTGCCATGGAACAAACAGAGGAATATGTTAATGGACAGCTGAAGAACAAATATGGGGATGCCTTCATACGAGGCAATAATGTACTCTACATCAGCACACTAAGGACCTTGACTAGCTGATGGGGCTTAGCTGGTGCTCGACTCACAAGTTTTTAAATCAGGGTGGTACACATCTGTAAGCTCCTATTCCTCCTAATCTTCAATCTCAAGCTGCTTGTTATGTTTTTAGGATTTAGTGATGTAAGAAGTTGTGTTTGTTAGCAGAATTTGCGAACTCTGGATGAAAAATACCCCCTTTTGGTATGCATTTGTAGTTTAATTCACGGAGTTTGGATGAAACAATTCCCCTTTTTCATTAAATTGGGGAACATCTCAAGTTAACAAGTGCTTGGTTTAGATGATATATATATATATATATATATATATATATATATATATATATATATGCCATATATATACATACATATAAATATATATGCCATAATAAATATATAAATATAAACAAATAATATTTAATGTAAAATGATATTTGACAAACTTAATTTTCATATAATTAAAATGTCCAAATATATATATATTTTATAATATTGTTTCATACGCAATATAAATATTTATTAAATATTTAACTTCACTCCATAACAATATTCTACACCACCAAATATTCTATGTGTGCGACCCTCTTCTAGTTTACCCATAACGTTGGCCATAGTATTAAAATACTACAAGTAACAAGCAGTATCTTGCAACACATTGTCACCCTCAAGTTATAGATATGAAGATCTTAGAAAATTCCTTCAACGACATATTACATTTAGTAACTCTTATCCCTTTATCACTAATACCTTGATTTAACACAAGACATGAGATGTGTCACCTTGTTAAAGTTAAATCGAAGATTTACTGATTATCTTTATTGTCTTGTGAGCTTTACCTCATCTCACCGAAGCATATTATCTCACCATAAGGTGTCATCTCACTGGAGCATATATATATATATATATATATATATATATATATATATATATATATATATATATATGTATGTATGTATGTATGTATATATATGTATGTATGTATATGTGTGTGTGTGTGTGTGTGTAGATAATGTTTTCCTATTTTGCCATTACCTTGTTTTTTCTTTTTTTAAATTTTTTTATTTCATTTGTTTTAATATAATACAAACAATTTTGAATTTTTATACGATTTTATAGAAGAAATTCTAAAATAATACTTTAAAAAATAGTAACAAAATGAAATAAAAACAAAGAAATAAAAAAGGAGCGACCTAAGATTTATTACCTAAAAACATTTAGAAAAGAATAGGAAAAAAATACATTTATTAACATTTATAGATGAAATATTGGATCAAATGCCCTCTTCCAGTCATTACAACAAAATGTAAGGACCTCTGCTGTCTTTTTGAAAATAAAGGTACTTGAGAGTTATTTCAACAAAACTCAGCGTCACCCATGAGTAATTTTGGGTTGAATGAGAGCAAAGTCCATTTAATTGTGTTGGGTCAATATGGACTTATGGAGTATTTGGTTGGTAAAAGCTTTGCCGGCTCCATGAGTAGAGTTTTTTTTGAAGCATTTGTTTCAAGAAAACTCTTGTTTCAAAATCCAACAACCAATGGACTTTTATTTTGCGTTCGTCACCGGCTTGTCCCCAAGAGGAAAGAAGAAAAGACGTAAGCGCTGCTGCAGTGTTGTTCTATGTGGCTTTGCATTTGCACCGTTCATGTGATTCCCATTTATGGGTTTACATCATAGTATGCCAACGAGAATAATCCCATCAAATAAAAGAACCCAAATATAAACTCAGTTGTTTCTCTCTTTGATCTCACGTTGGGCTGAGCTCTTCATCCCATTCCAAGGTACCCTTTTTCCCCTCTTTTTGTGGCTTTCTTCTGGTAATCACGCAAGAATACTTGTATCATAGCACTTGAGCGCATTTTAGCATCGAATCTCTGGACGGATTTAGAAAATGGGTTCATTCTCTTATATGTTGAAGATGAAGAGATTGGGTGTATGATTTACTAATTCGTGATCATTTTCTGGGGTTACAGGCTTTCGCTGTAAATTATTTGACTTTGCGCTGTCTTTTGCCCAATTTATAGTCTTTTTCTTTGGTTACAAGAGATGGGGTTTGCTGATATTCACATTTTCTTTTAAATTCTTCTATTTCTGGGATTATAGACTTTCTGGTGTAAATATTCTAGCTTAGCTCCTTTTTTTGTTATGTCAGAAATTTGGAGCCAACTTCCAGGATAAAGTTGGCCGTCCAATTTGAAGCAGTTTTCAGTGATAAACATCATTTGTACAATGTCAATTCCTTTGTAGTTCCTTCAATTCATGTGTTTTTTAGAATCTTCATCTTTTCCCATGGATTTTTCCCTTGAATAGCATCATTATTAGTTCATTCTCAAAAAATCTAAATATTATGATCCTTCTTGTTCGTGTGGAACTGTGTGTGTTCAGTAAAGCTCTCCAAACTCCTATTGTGTGTAAGAGAATTGTGATATGATTCATTTATTGCTAATTAGTAATTACTGTTAACCATTGATAGCTGTTGGTTGCTTTTCTTTTTGCCCTCCAGGATGAACATAGAAAATTAAGGAAGTCTCTTAATGATTTATGAGAAACCGACCTGTTAATGTGAGCACTTCAACAACTTATTATAAATAACAAAGGATTTGAAGGCTTTTGGCATTATGCATGTCTGGTCCTGTGGTGATTGCTGATGGTGTTGGAAGACCACGTTCGTTGTCACATAGGGTCCTATCGGTTAGTACTACATTGCTTAGTGACAATCATGCCTACGACTCAACAACAAATGGAGAAGTTTCTCCTTCTGAATCCAGAGGCTTTAGAGTTGGCGAGCTCTTACTGCCGAACGGTGAATATTATTCGGGGTCTCTGCTGGGCAATATACCAGAAGGTTCAGGCCTGTATATCTGGTCTGATGGTTGTAGGTATGAGGGTGAGTGGAGGCTTGGGATGAGACATGGTTATGGGACCCTTAAATGGCCTTCTGGTGCTGTTTATGAGGGTGAATTTTCTGGTGGTTATATGCATGGCACAGGGACATATATTACGCATGACAAAATGACTTACAAAGGTCGATGGAAACTGAGTCGCAAACACGGTTTAGGGAACCAAATATACCCCAATGGTGATGTCTTTGAAGGATCCTGGATACAAGGTAAACTAGAAGGACCTGGCAAGTATGCCTGGGCTAATGGGAATGTGTATTTTGGGAATATGAAAGGAGGAAAGATGTGTGGGAGTGGAACTCTCACTTGGCTCAGTGGAGATAAATATGAAGGGTGTTGGTTAAATGGTATGATGCATGGTTTCGGTGTATATACATGGAGTGATGGTGGATGCTATATGGGAACTTGGACTCATGGTCTAAAGGACGGAAAAGGGGTATTTTACCCAAGAGGTAGCAAGCTTCCTGCCGTGCAGGAATTGTACCTTAATGCCTTGAGAAAAAGGGGGTTGCTGCCTGATGTAAGGAATGAAAAACGGGTGTCACGTATAGAAAATGCTAAATTGAGTGCAGACCAAAAGGGTTCATCTTTTAATCTCACGAAAGGAAATTTTTTCAATCTGGAGCTGAATCGTCGGACCAATGATTTTTTTCTAGACAGACGCTGGAGTCTTGAAGTGTCGATTGAGAAAGTTATTGGGTGTGATTTAGAGTCTGAAATCACTAGCAGTGACAATCTCAACTCTTCAGTTTTGGAAAGAGAATACGTGCAAGGCGTCTTGATCAGTGAAGTTATGCTGAGCGACCGTTTCTCTTCACCGTCTAGGAGAGCAAAAAGAAGGCAAAGAAAACTGGTCAGGGAGATGAAGAGACCTGGTGAGACAATTATTAAAGGTCACAGGAGTTATGATTTAATGCTGAGTTTGCAGCTTGGAATCAGGTAAAAAACTACACACTCGTGTAGATATATGTCATCCTACTTCCATCTTATTAAAATAACCCATTAGCTTTGTTTTGAATTAGTAGTACTAAATTACTTGTTAATAAATATGACTAGATATACTGTGGGAAAAATCACCCCTATACATAGGAGAGAAGTACGGGCTTCGGATTTCGGTCCTCATGCGAGCTTTTGGATGTACTTTCCTAAAGAAGGGTCACAGCAGACACCTTCACACCAGTCAGAAGATTTTAAATGGAAAGATTATTGTCCAATGGTATTCAGGTTGGCTGTTTCTACTTTCTAATGTCTATTCTCTTGGATTTTCTTAACTTGCAATTGATGGGTTTTATTGAACTGTTACATACTCTGTATTTGAGTTTTCTGATTTCTCAATAACTTCAGTGCCCTCTTCAATTGTTGCTATAGGAACCTGAGAGAAATGTTTAAAATAGATGCTGCTGACTACATGATGTCAATTTGTGGAAATGATGCACTTAGAGAGCTTTCTTCCCCTGGAAAAAGCGGCAGTGTTTTCTTTCTCTCACAAGATGATCGTTTCATGATTAAGACGTTGCGAAAATCAGAAGTTAAGGTTTGTCCTCTTTAGTTGCTCTATTTGGACGTACATTTTGCTTCCCATACTAGTTTTCTTGGATCCAATGTTTTTTAAAGAGGTCATTTAGATAATGGATGAAAGATTCAGAATCTGAAATAGAAGGGGAGTGAAGCAACGTTCTTACTCATTGAACACCGTTGAGTATAATATGTAAAGCAATGAAGACTTAGGTGTTTGGGTTTATTTCATAGCCATTACAATACCTTTGGACGTGCCAAATATATGGGCACTTTGTAATATATCTATTCCATTTAGACCAATACATCAATAGGTTCTATTAACATGTATTACCCACCTGTAGGTTTTGCTCCATATGCTTCCGAAGTACCATCTACATGTGCGTACTTATGAGAACACACTCATTACCAAATTTTTCGGTCTACACAGGATAAAGTCTTTAAGTGGACAAAAGGTATTATTTCCATTATGTTGACAATTTCATTTGGATGACAATGTAATGCTTAGTGTATCATGTTCCTTGTCTGACCATATATCATTAAAATATTGCACCAGCCTCAAAAAATATTAAAGCTTGTGTAACTAGATGGTGTGCCCCTCTCTCTCTCTCTCTAGGTGCCAAAAACGGAGTTCGGGTTATATTGGGTTTGTCATTGTTGCTTCCCCCCTCCCAATTTTCTTTAGCAACTGCCATTTTTTGTTCTATTTTTCTTCAATCCATTGATCCCAAAATCTCTATGCAGGCATTAGGCTCTCTTTGGGCATCTACATTTAGTTCCTTCAGCCTAACTCAGATATGTCCAACTGGATTTTAGATGCAGTTTGTGTATTTTTGGGTTAGTTTGTTCTATACAAGGAGGGATGCGGTATATGTGGATAAAAAGAGAACCATCTAGTCACCCACTGCCCATATAGCCCCACGTTTATTTCGACCACTTAGTTGTCAAGATTAGCCAAACTATTATTTCGACAACCTTTTTTTCGTTTTTGTTTTGTTTCACTTTCTTTTTTTGACGCAATTTTGAGGAAAGGCGCCCCCTTTTTTTCCTCTAATTTTTCAAACATCATGAGAGTTCTTTTAAACTATTCTTGTGCCAGAAAAGAGTACTCAACAGTGACAAAAGATCAAAATATTGCAATGTAATATTGCTTTCATATTTTATTTACAGTTCCGCTTCGTGGTGATGGGGAATATGTTCTGCACAGAGCTAAGAGTCCATCGGCGATTTGATTTAAAAGGATCCTCACTGGGGCGTTCTGCAGATAATGTTGAAATAGATGAAAGTACAATACTTAAAGATCTAGATTTGAACTACTGCTTCTATCTTGAGCCTACGTGGCAACAGGCCCTGCTGAAGTAAGTGTATCTCCGGATCCCTCATACTATAATCAAATTAAGTCATCCATTTCCGAGGCCAATTATTGTTTGCTTACCAATTTCTCTGGATTTCATTTTCCATCATCCGTTGTTATATGATGCATCAAAATCTGCAGGCAAATTGAAATTGATAGCAAATTTTTGGAAGAACAGCACATTATGGATTACAGTCTCCTTTTAGGCGTTCACTACCGGGCTCCTCAACACATACAATCCATTGTATCACATAGTAAACGAATAACCACAGATGGGTTAGAAATTCTTGCAGAAGAAGGTAGGGTGGTCGGTGTATAAACCTCATCACTACTTTCAACATATACCAACTTCTTTTCAACCCACACAAGTCTAACTGATTAGCATTTAATCTGAATGTGATTTCTAGAATTACATTTACGTGATATGGGCAGTTGAGCGAAACGCGATTAATAATTTCTTAAAATTTGTACCACAATGGCAGAATCTATGGAGGACGAAATATGCCCCCAAGGGCTTGTGTTAGTTCCACGAGGTGCAGATGATGATGGAAGCATTGTTGTGGGACCACACGTCAGAGGCAGTCGCTTGAAGGCATCCTCTGCTTCGGGTGATGAGGTAGTAGATCTTCTTCTTCCAGGAACAGCAAGGTAGTACTCAAGCTTGTGGTTGTAGACCCTGCAGAAGTGTTTACTTTTTATCAACTCTTGCACGTAAAACCCTGATTTAAAAAAAAAAAAACTAAAAAAACTGAGTGGCGGTGTGGTTTAAACTTGTGACCGACAAGACTTTGATTGTAGAATCAGAAAATGCTTTTCTAGCACAGTGTGGAATTAAGCGGTCTATTTGATGCGAATATGTGTGCTGATACAGAGTGTTTTTTTTGAAAGCAGATTGCAGATTCAGCTAGGGGTAAACATGCCAGCAAGAGCAGAGCATTTCCCTGGGAAAGGCGACGAGAAGCAGGTGTTTCATGAAGTGCATGATGTTGTGCTCTACCTGGGGATTATTGACATCTTGCAAGAGTACAACATGACTAAGAAGATAGAACACACTTACAAATCCATACAATTCGATTCCGTATCCATCTCTGCTGTGGACCCCGTTTTCTACTCCCGCCGCTTCTTGGAATTCATTCGGAAGGTTTTCCCCGCAAATTCGCCAGCGAGTTAGAAAGAAGAACACCTTACTCCAATCATCCTAAATAATCATCGGTATTGAAATTAGTACACTCTTTTTTACTCTGTATTTTTTTAGTTTTTAAATTGTAAGCAGTATATGTGTATCTTGCTTTGCAATTTTGTTGATAGAGATAGGGGTAATCTGAATATTTGACGTTGTATCTGTATCAAGAATCAACAGGCAATGTTACCTTGCAATTTTGTACTTCATTTTGTGACATTTTGCCTTTCAATATTTTCCCTCTGGTAAAAACGTACCATTTGCAGAATATTTTAATTAGGAAAAGAATGCGAAATCAGTGACTCGAACCATTGAACCCCCTTAATTACTTCATTTATTTATCATTTATCTAACAAGCCTAACTCCAATGAGTTATGGCTTGTTGTTCATAGCAGCATTCCTAACGTATAATAAAACTAAATACTACTTCCCTGTGTTGGGCAGCATCCTACACCAGATAATTAAAACACATACTAGTCTCATATAATAAATACAATAAGAAAGCTAACGTTTTACTTATTGCCTTAAGCTTTTGGATTAAAAAGTGTACAAATTTTATATGTAAAATCCAACGTGCAGTATGTTCTATCTTCTTAGTGATACTAGAAGTTGGATTTTAAGTGATATATCTCATTAAAACAAGACAAATGTAATTAATGAGGCTCATGGGCCTCGTTGACCAGGGGGGATTATCGGATTCTGAGTGGACAAATACGTATTGCAAGCTTCCTCTCTACTTTTGGTACTACCCCATCTTTAGAATCCATCTAACATGGTTTTTGGTTTTGGACCTCAACATCGATGTTGCCCTATATGAACATCGATAATGCACCACTTTGGCTTTCTATGGTTTGATCTAGTAGGTATTAAACATCGATGTTGCCTAGTGAACATTGATGTTTCGCCAACTTTGCCTTTCTCCAATTTATCTTAGTAGGTTTTGAACATCGATGTTGACCCAGTGAACATTGATTTTGAATATGATTGTTGGTAAAAATCAAAGACTAAATCTTTCTTTTTTAAAAAGTTAACCAACAAAAAATCAATGGTGTCTTTTGAATATCAATGTTCTCATGATCATTAGTCAATCCAACGAATTCTTTGAGTTTTAAAAGAAAGTCAACTTCAAGAACATCGATGTTGGTGTTTAAACATCAATGTTTTGACTATGACCACCAGACAAACTTTGATTTGATTTGCACAAATCAAGCAAATCAACCACAATCTTCTCTCATCCGCTGGCTTCTTTAACACATAATTCTTCATCTGTTTCATTGTTTTTTATTGCATCAATTCTTATACATTTTTCATAGCTTTTGAGAGCCAGTTCTTGAAGAATTAAGGGCCATTTGGAAACCAGGAAAATAAATTATGGGAAATGACTTATTTTCCTAAAACCATTTTCCTTTTCTACAGTTTCGCTGAATGATGGAAAACTATCTGCGGCTGTTTATTTCATTTTTGGAAAATGAATAGCTAGAATAAACAAAAAGTATGACTATAGATATAGATCGATGTGTTGCAAACAAAAAAACTTTTTTTCTAAATAAGGAAAATTGATGATTATGATTCAATCCCCTTTTTAAAAGAAAATGTTATTTAAAACAAAGTACAAAAAGGGAGGATCGAAACCAAAGCCCTCGAAAAAAATATTACAAGAGTGCTTTATCACAAGAGCTTCTAATGTGTTGATTCTAAGATACAACTCTAAACCCAAAAATAGGGTGCCCCATATAGGTTTTACAATAAGAACTCATTACACAACTCATAAGCACCAAAACATTAGCTCTAAATATGAAGCTTCTTTTTGCCAAATAAATTTGAAAAATGACTGCGACTTGATTTTGTGTTGCAAATCTCCCTGTACACATTATAATGAAACCAAAGCACAAGCCAATTGATCCAAGTGTGGTTCACAATCTTTAAGGTTTACAAAAGTAAGGAAAAAAACAAATAGGAATAAACAAAACCAATAAAAAAAAACCGAATCACTTTGTAAAGAATCGGAGCAAAAAAACAAAGAGAAAGTTCAATTCTAGTTCAATACAAACTACAAATACAACCTGGAATATGAGATCTAACATGTCAAACCATAGATAAGAAACAAGAATTCTTATAAAACCTGCCCCAACCCTTATAACAACAAGCATTATTATAGTACCCTTATAACAGCAAAGACGCAGATTACAGCATATCGTAGCAAGGTGAGGGTGAAAATACAGAATACAATTGGCCTAGGCTAAGGCAGCGCTAGAATAACCAAACTCAAATTCACATATTAACAAAATCAAATTTCAGAATAAAAGATTCACATGAAAAATCTAGAAGAAAAATTGAAGAGAAGTAAAAGAGGATAATAACCTTAAACCTTTTTCTATCAAGATTGCAAAAAATGATGGTAGGTTAGAAAGGCAAAGAAGGCAGATGAAAAAACCCCTAGTTGAAGATAAGAGGCATCAACAATGGAAAATTAGAGAGGCAAAGGATGTGGAGGAAAGAGATGATATGGGTCATCCACGATGATGGAGATGGGGGGAGTCAAATGGCTAGAAAAAGGTGAGATTTTTTTTATATTTGCCATTGATAGTCGATTATATTAACTGATAATTGATTATTGGTCTTTACTGAAACACCTATAGCCTCCTATAGTCGATAATCATAATGTGGATAATCGATTATCTGTGTTTTCCTTTTGAAATATGAAAAGATCACACATTGATAGTCGATTATCCAAAGCTTGATAATTGATTTTCAAACTTTCCAACTAAGATGGCCAAACTTCAGCATGACATGATAGTCAATTATCACATAGTTGATAATCAATTATCAGCTAGCGCTAGATTGCCTAGTTTTGCCCGATAGCCTTATCACACTAGTATTATCACATTGAAGAGGGGCATGAGCAATACTAAAGACATAATCCGGAGTTGTTTTGGAATAAGGAAAATATCTCTCTTAATTTTCTAAAAGTAATAAGGAAACTAAGAGAAGGAGAAAGCTTTAAATTTTTCCGCAAGTGTGGATTAAAAGGTGAATTTGGGCCTTACATTTTCATTGGGGATTTGTACGTAAGTGGCCGCATTATTCCACATGTGAATCCGCCACCCGTCATATGGTACTTTCTCCTTCCAAGTTGAAATTTTCATTGTGCTAAAGCCTTGATTGATTTCACTGTTAATTGAATTTAGTTGATTGTAATTAAATTTAAAAACATAAATTTTATATATTTAAAAAATTAGATAAAATTTTGCGTGTGATTAATCTATAAGAAAAACACATTCTATTAAGAATATTAGATAATAGGAAATAAATATTATAAATAATGTCTTTCCTTATTGTATTGCTAATATATTTCTTTATGCTCCTTCCCTTCCCAATCACTATGAATAGATTAACAAATCACTACGAAAAGATTAAGGTACAAGTAAATGTAGAAAAATAAATTATGAGTATATGAACTTCATCTTGCATTTTATTTTTGAATTCAATGCTTTGACAAATATTGAAGATACAAATACTTTTCCGCATCTGTACTGTTTGTGAAAACATTGAGATTAAATGTAATTAAGATGTAAGATGAAATTCTTCTAGGCGCGTAAATATATAAAAAACAATAATGACAACCTTTGTTTTCAATTACCGTGAGGGATAAACTGAAAGCATTTTATACCAAGAATCTTTCAAGAAATTTTCTCTATTAATTAATTACTCGTATAATCTATTTGACTTTCAAACAATATTGTATTGATATGTTATGGCCTATGGGTATATATACATGCATATTACTTTGGAATTGTGTTTGATAAAGTTTGGTACATTTTTACTTTTATAACTTACAACATTAAATATGCATTAATAATATAATACAAACTTGCATATGTTGGAATTTTGACTTGTAACGGACTAAATTCTGACTTAAATTCGGTAGGGTCTTTAAATTTATTTTTATAAAATAATTATGGACAATTAATATCCAAAATGAGACGAATGTTTCGATACATATTGTGCATAAAAAATGATTCTCAGTTGAATGAAAAATTGATTTGCAAAGTCAAACACTTAGAGTCGGCTCTTTATGGCTTAAACTCTTAATTTTCAGTTTCTTCCAGTCAGTTTCTTCCAGTTACTTCCTGTTTCTTCCACCTATTCTCGTTTTTTTCAAACTATTTCTACTCCCCAACAAATTACTCTAAAAATGATACATTCTTAGTGTGATTATTATTATTATTATTATTATTATTATTATTATTATTATTATTATTATTACAACTATTATGTTCATAACTATAGTTCATAAATAAATTTTTTTCCCGTGTTTCAATACAAGCCAAGCACTGAAATACTCCCTCCGTTTCTTAAAATAATTCCCATTTTGACTTTGAGCCAAAATAAGGAAAGTGTAATTTTGGTTGACTTTCCAATTTTGCCCTGATGCGATGGGTAAAAGTAAGATGTGATAATTTGGTTAGAAGTGGTTTTTTAATAGAAAGTGGAAGTGTTTTAAAAAATTAGAAAAAACGAAAAGAGAAGATTTTTATGGAACGGATGAAGTAAATGGTAATTAGAGAAATGCAATATGTAATGAAATCAATGTAAGGAAATCAAGAATTCAAGATGAACTTTTTTTACGTCAAGCCTTTTTAATTTCATGTGCTTGAGTATTATTTTTAAAAAACAATTAACTAGTCATTATAATTTGCGTCTTCCACTGCATGTCTCCTCCATAAGGTCAATTGTTGCACCAGAAAATTATTGCCGAATGCCATAATTTTAAATTTGGCTCAATACTTGAACTTTTCAACTTTAATTTTCTATATCTATCTTATGTTAAATCTTATAATTTTAATAAGTTTAATTACTTTGCTCAACTTTTGGCTCGATGGATCGATTAGTACGTACAGTTAGAAAAATAGAGTACGTGTTTGCGAAAAAATAAATTACAACAATAAGAAGAGATTAAGAAGACATCACCTCAATAATATTCATGGTCGAGATAATTAATGACACATTATTCACATAAACTAATTAAGAACATTTATTGAAGTTGATCCTCAACTCCACGGGGCGTTCAAATAAAGGGGTGTTTTGCTGGGTCTATGAGATGGACATTGGTCGCTCAATCGAAAAATCAATCGACCAATGCGCTCTCAAAAGACTTGGACTTTCGCTCTGGGAACATTGGCCCCTTGTAGCCATGCACCGTACCTAGACTGTGCACAAAGTGGGATGTGATTAGATACCCCTTCGTGACACTCGGCGTGGGCAATGCTCCAATTATTTGCCCCCCCTGAAGTCCCGGAGGAGAGCCATGTCACTCCAGGTAACTGTGTGATTGTTGAATTGACCGTGCAAGGCCTCCGAGAATGTGTTCCTCACTTGGAACGAATCGAACGACGCTGAGTTCAAAATGAAAATCAGCGATTCGATGTACTGCACAAAATTTCGTGGGAAGAAACACGCCCTCGCCCCCATTTTTTGGGTGCACCAAATAGAGTACTTTTATCCCTAATAATTCTTATCCTATCGAATACAGAGTATATCATATTTATTCAGTTTAAATCTACCCACTACATCATACTTTTACCCATCATATCAAAGGATATTTTTGAAAGTCAATGCCAACACAAATATACTCTATTTAAATCATTTAAAAGTCAATACAAGAAACATTTTTAAGGACAGAAAAAGTATATAAAAGATTCTTCAAAATACGGAAAATTTACTCTTTACATAATTAAATAATTGATGAAAATATAAAAATAAACAAAAATTCTAAAGGTAGTGTTTGAGATTTAATACTCCGCAATTCATTTCAAGTTATGTATTTCAATTCCAAAATTTAAAATTCTAAATTTCAAATGACAAGGGGAGGTGCATGAATTTCTGAATAAGCTTTGTTTTGAATGAAAAATAACTTGACTCAAATCCAAAATTAAAAATTTTTAAATTTTCCAAACATGAAGTTTGAGCCAAATCCAAATTTAAAACCCAAATATATGTTCCTAAACACACTATAAAATTATTTAACAGTGAACTTTGGCATCTTTTTTTGAACAATGGAATATTTTTTTTATTTATCCAACATATACTGAAATTGAAACCAATCGAGACAAAAAGTCACACAAAGCAAATAAGAAAGAAAGAAAAATGGAGTAACCATTGGGAGGACAATAATGAAAGAATTGAAAGAGGAAAAAGTTGATCAAGCAAGATGGAGAATTTAATGCATTGACAGGGCAAGTAATTACCTCTTTGCTAAATGTGACTATTTTTTCCCTTGTCAACTTTATCTGCTGCCTCCCTGTGTCCCTTTCTATTTTGGGCTTAATCATTAAAGAGTCTAAGTTGGGTAAAAGAAAGAAATGGTTGGGCTAATTTATTAAAGTGTAAATTGGGTAAAAGAAAGAAATGGTAATTCATGATTAGTATTTGTCCAATTTCAATTTTTTTCAATCAGTCAGTTTTTAATTTCTATTTATAATTACATAAAATATATATTATATATTTATTAGATAAAATAATATTTTAAATATATTTGATATAATAAATTTAATAAAACTATTTTTGTATCAATATCTAATATCTTAGAGTATCATTTTTATTTAATTTAAGGTCAAATTTTATTAATTTTGATAGAAAAAAGTCATAAGTGTCACTCGACAACTATTTTAAAAGGAAGAGTAATGAATTGACTGTAGAAGAAAATCAAGATATCCTTTTTGTAGGTCAAACTTTTTCCATATGCCCCATTACCAATAAAATATATGAGTAAATTTATACAGACTTCAATTAAACAACGAGTAATTTTTTTTAAGGAAAAATTAATGGTCATTGTTTGAATTTTAACTATTGATTAGAATGGAGGACAAGGAGAGTACTAGAATCCCATGAGAGAAATTTGATATAGAGCCCCATGACAGTGTTCCGGAACAAAAACTTAATCAGACAATAATTAAGGAATGAGGAGATTAATTTAGAACACAACAGCTAAATAACTAAATAATATTCATTAATAAGTAGTTAAGGACACATTGCTAATTACACATTATTCACATCAACTAATTAAATTCATTTATTTAAGTTGACGTCACCTCCTCAACTCCACGGGGCGATAAATAAAAGGGCTGTTTCACGGGGTCTATGAGATGGACATTGGTCGCTCGATCGAAAAACCAATCGACCAACGCACTCTCAAAAGACATGGACTTTCTCCCCGGAAACATTGGCCCTTTGTAGCCCTGCGCTGTTCCGAGACTATGCATGAAGAGGGATGTGAGTAGATACCCCTTCGTGCTGTTGGGATTTTAAGCGCGTAAGATACCAAAAAATATTGAGAATACCAGAAAAATGAGAGAACAAACACAAGAAGAAAATATGAGAGAAAAAATTATATTTCTACTATTTCAGGACAATATACAAAAAACTCTCCCCTGTTTACAAGACTAAATTCCAGACACTTATTGATGATGTAAATTACTTGACCGGTCAAACTATACTAGACCGGGTCTAGAATAGTTTGCTTGATTTGGTAAAGTAGGAAAGGTAAAAACACGCAAATTGACCGGTAGGACTTTAGGTGGAACACCTGTAGCCCAATTTATATTATAACGGAGAATGCACGGGTGCTTTTACAAGGGAGTTTAGAGAGAGTGAATTCGGATCTCTCTTTCTGAGGTTTACATGAGTATTTATACTAGGCTATGGGGGACAAGATCACGTGCGCCCACGTGGGGGCATGCTGCTGATGTGGTGCGAGGTGACTGGTTTCGTCCTCGAGCTGCCTTGTCGCCTTGTGAGGGGGATTATTCCCTTTGTCGAGTAGTGCCTTGGATGGATTCTTCAGCATCTCCAGTTGTCCTCTACTGACATGGGTCGCTACACGCCAAGCCCTCTTCTGCCGACACTTTCCAACCCTAGAAACTACACCGGGTAATCTCCGTGGGATGAAATCATCAAAGTTAGGGAAAAATAGGGTGACAAAGTAGTTTGACCGGTATACTTTTTCGTGAAGTATACCGGTCATCTTTGGGCCGATTACATATCGATTTGCTGACGATTTAAGTTTCCCTTCCAAAACTTTCAAGATTGACCGGTCAACTAATTGGTCTTCTCCTTTGACTGGTCGTGGGTGGAATACACCCATCAATAAGCCCTCCACTTCTCGGTCATACAATTTGTCATGAGCGGGAAGTAAAAAGTCTGAAATAGGACTCCAATTTTGAAATTTTGGCTCTTCCCGCCTAAAATTTTTGAAATTTGAATTTCAAACTTTGATTTTTGCCACGTTTCGCGCATCAACCGTTGCAATCAGTCGGCTGCAGACCCGTCGTTTCGCTTGCCAGTGGGTCATCATTGCGCCGCCTGACGCGGCCCAACCTGAAGAGGCCACGTCGCTCCTTTCAGCCTTCCTCTTCCTATATAAAGGCCTCCACCCCTCTTCTTTGTTCACTTTCTGCGATCAAGTCTCAGAGCTTTCACCGGTCAAGTTCCTTCTCTTTCGCTATCCAGCCCTCCGAGTCAAGTAAGTTTCCCCTTCCTTCTAAACTTTCTTTCCCGGTCATGTCTTCTTTTAGCGATAGGATTTCGTCCTCAGAGGACTGCTCCTCTGAGGACTCTAACTCATCTTCCTCGACCGGGTCTTCTTCTCCTGACTCCACGCCCGGTCAGGTTCCCAACTCCTCTATTCCCGACCTGCAACATGTTAATCAAATGCCCGGTGAAGTTTTCATGGGGAGGGATGACCCGGTTGATGACGAACCGGGTCCCTATGACCCTGAAAACGAAACCCGGGATGCGTGGGAGGAGCGGCTTCATGCTGCCGGTTACTTTCCGCTCCCCACCTTCTACGTCCTTGACATCCCTTCCCATGTATCCAAAATTGCCTTGAATAAAATTCGTAGGAGGCTCCCAGATGGGTATACCATCTTGTATGAACCTAACTGGCCCAACATTGTTGAATCCCACCGGGAGGATAGGATAGGGTTCCACACCATATCACTGGATGCGGGCATCGTTTTTCCTTTTTGCCCCCTCCTAACCGAAGTATGCCATGCGTTTAGGATTTTACCTTGCCAAATAACCCCTAACGCCCACCAGTATCTTAATTCCTTTGTAAATATCTGCACTCATCTGAAAATCGTCCCCTCCTTGCGTCTTTTCCTTTTTTGCTTTGAAGTCCTACCGGGCGGGACTGGCTGTGAAGGTTTTGTATTCTTCAAAGCTCGTACCGGTAGGAAGTTCATTTCCGAAGTCCCCCAGAGTAACCGGGGATGGAAGGAAAAATTTGTTTTCATCGAGTTTCCCCCCTTTGTCACTCCTTTGGCCGGTCTGAAATGGAATGACCATCTCCTCGACCAAGAGTACGCTGCACCGGCTTCCTCCCCTGACTTAGAAGCGAATCTCGAGGTCCTCATGCGCGGGGATCCTTTAACCGGGAGGATCTTCCATTATGGCAGCTGGGTTTGGAGGGTTGAGTCGTGTGGTGAGGGTACCTCCCAGGCCCATGAAGCAGCGGGGCGCGGGGTACCCTCCCCGGGCAACACTGCAAAGGTTGAGGGCCAGAACCACCCAGGTATTTTTCATTTTTCTTGTGATTTGTTGTTGACCGGTATCATTTCGTGTACTTAATGACTTTTGCTAATATTTGCAGACATGGAGTTCGAAGAATTCGCCATGCCCGAAGATCAGCCAGAGGGAGAGACCGGTGGTTCTCAGGCCGGTGCTGCGAAAACTTTCAAGGTCCAACCAGAGACCGTGGAAATCCATGATTTGGACGAGCCGGAGGATGACCGGTCAAAAGGGAAGGGCAAAGAGAAGACCGGTCGGCGGATAAAAAGGGTGGCAACCACACACCCTTCTTTCGCTAAGAAGAGGCAAAGAGGGGACTCAGAGCCGGCCGGTCAGACTATTGAAGAGGCCTTCATCAATCTGGGCCTGAGGCTGAAGGAGGTATGTCCTGCTGCTATCCCGGTCTTGATCTTCTTTTTCCCTTGATGAGAATCTTACCGGGCTTTTGTTTCTTTTGTGCAGGCGGGGGAGATTGGACCCCTCACAGCTGACCGGCTGGGGTTAGACTCTCCTTCGGAGTTTGCCCGGCTGAAGAAGGAGAAGGAGGAGATGGCTCTTATCCTTAAGAGCCAAGCTGATGAGCTGACCAGGCTATCCGGGCTAACCGGGTCTATGACGGCAAAGATCTCTCACCTTAAGGAAGAGAATGGCCGGCTGATGGACGAGGTGTTTGAAGCCAAGAGGGAGATGGCGGAAAAGGAAGAAACCTTCCCCCGGCGCGCAGCTGCCTAGGTGGAAGAGAATAAAGCTGAAGCTGCCCGGGTGATGACGGCGACTCCAAAGACCACGATGGAGTCCTTCAGGCTTCTGTACCGGGAGCCTGAAGGAAAGAAGATGATTACCGCGATTGGATCCTTCGGATTCAAGAGCGGTCAAAAGAAGGACCGGATCGCCTCTCACCGGGTACTGCTCAGAAGAGATCCGAACTTCAGCGCTGCATCCTATGGCCTTGCTCCAATCCCGGAAGAAGAGCCAACTCCCCCCTTCCCCCTAGATTAGGATCTCCCCGGCTGCGCCCGGTTATTTTTGTAAAACTTGAAACCTTATCGATTTCCCCGGGTATGCCCGGTGTATCTGTAAACATTTAACATGCTTGTTCCGTTTGAATGCCATGTTTAATTTCCTTACCGGTTAATCTTCCATATCTACTTGCTTGTTGATTTATACTTTGCTCTTGCTTCTTATAAATTCTGACCGGTAAATAAATCAGACCACTTCTCAATTGTTTCCGACCGGGACAACTTCAAAGTTCTCTCTGATCACTTTATCTCCAGGATCAGCCCGAGTAACTTGGACCGGTCAAACTTAAATTTTCACTTTCTTAGCTTGTTTTTGAATATGCTAAGTCCAACCCGGTTGAACTAGAGTGAACCAGCTAAACTTTACTTCGGCTTTTTGACCGATAGGTTCCACTCCATGGTGTGACCCGTCAACTGCCTTGCCTTGCAGAACTTTCGAAGTTCTGTTGCGCCCATACTCGACCGGGGTATTCTTTTTTTTTTTGACCGGTAGGTTGTAGATGGAAACACCTGTAACCTAGTAATTCTTGAAGTATCTTTAACTGGTAAGAATACTGGAGATTTAACCATGTCGAATGGTTTCGAACCCTCTCCAAAGTCCAAATGCACCCTTCTTCCAGGGCCCCCTCTTCCGGGTGATTAAGTCTTTTAATGGCCCTTTAATTTCTACTATCCCGGGAAAACCTTAGCTCACCCCCCCGTTCAAGTCTTCCATGAGAAGGGGGAAACAGGATGCGCCACGGTGGACGATCCCCTTCTATTTCTCTTAATGGGCATCTTTTAGTCCCCAATCAATTTGACGGTACCGGCTGATTCCCCGATACCGGTCAAACCTCATGGGCCCGTGTAAGTACGGTTCGAACCTTCTTCCAAATCCAGCCCTCTTGCAGGCATACCCTCTTCCGGGTTTTAATATTTTTTCTATTATACTGAGCAAGACCGGTGTAGTAACCAGCGTGCCAGGTCCGGGCCTGTGTCTCAGTTGGCTTATCCAAGTGGATTCGATCCGCCCGGGAAGCCCTTCTAGGATAGGTTTGACCTATCAATTCCGCCGCTACCAAGTAGAGTATTGAACATCACTTTGATTGATAATGTAGTTAGGCCTCGCCTAGTATTACAATCATTTGTAGAACTTGCGAAGATGGTGGGAATTCTAAGTTCTTTCTATCGGTACACCATCTAAAGTTTCTAACCGGTATGTTCCTGGTCGAATGATGGCTCTAACCCTGTATGGGCCTTCCCAGTTTTTTGCCAGCTTTCCTCCATCGCCGGGTCTACTTGCTTCTCTTCTTCGTAGGACTTCATCTCCAACTTGGAAGTACCGCGGCCCAACCTTGTTGTCATGGTACTTCTTCACAACTTGTTGGTATGTACTCATTTTAACCTCCGCAGCCATTCTTCGTTCTTCGACCAAGTTGAGCTCGGCCAAGTGGTCTTCTTCATTTTGCTGGGGCTGATAATTTGATTCCTGGAACGTTGGGAATTCTGCTTCGATGGGCAGCCTTGCTTCACACCCATAAGTTAGGGTGAATGGAGTTTCCCCGTGAGCCCTCCTGGGTGTTACTCCGAATGCTCATACGATGTGTGGGAGCTCTTCGAGCCACTTGTTTCCTGCTTCTCCCAGCCGTTTCTTTAGACCATCCACAATCGTTCTGTTGGCGTTTTCGACTTGGCCATTCCCATGGGGGTACGCTACCGAGGAGCGATTGTGCTTGCTTCCGAAGCCCTCCAAGTATTCGGTGAATCTCGGATTTCGGAATTGTGGGCCGTTGTCGGTGATGAGGTTCATGGGCGCTCCAAACCTCGTGATGATGTTCTTCCAAATGAATTTCTTACATTGTTGCGTGGTGATGTTGGCCAATGCTCCGGCCTCGATCCATTTGGTGAAGTAATCGATGGCTACGATTACGAACTTCTTCCCTCCTTGGGCGACTGGGAATGCTCCGTTGATATCAACCCCGAACCTAGCGAATGGGACGATGTTCGATACGGGGTGATAGTAGGTTGCCGGTCTACCGGGATACTTGTAGAATACTTGGCACGTTCTGCATTTCTGAACGTACCTCTTACAATCCTGGACGATTGTTGGCCAGTAATACCCCAATAGGATGATGCGCTGGGAAAGCGTACGGGACATTTGATGCGCCGCGCATACGCCTTCGTGGACCTCCGCTATGACTCGCTCAACCTCTAGGTTGGTTAGACATCTTAGGAGTGGCCCCCCAAATGCCCTTTTATACAGCTTTCCATCAAGAACCTGGAATCGGGGTGCCCTGAGCTTCACTTTTATTGCCCGGTCATCTTGTTCTGGCAAGCTCCCATCTATCAAATATTCCATCAGATCATACATCCAATGGTCGTCCGCCCCGACCAGGTTTTTCGATGGCGGCGACTTCCAATTTTTCGATGCTTGCACGGTCAAGGATCTCTACCCGGGCAAGTTTTGAAACATGCTCGGGAGCATACTGCATCAATTTGGAGAGAAGGTCTGCATCCGCGTTCTCCGCCCGGGGAATTTGGGCGATCTTGAACTCTTAGAAGCCTTTCAACAGGGCAAGTACAAGGTCCTTATATTGTGCCATGCGTCCTTATCTTGCCTCCATGTTTCCAGTCACTTGCCCAACGATCAGGCTAGAGTCAGATTTGATACTGACCCGGCTGATTTACAGGGCTTGGGCAAGCCTGAGCCCTCCAGCCAGAGCTTCATACTCTACCTCATTGTTCGTCAGCTTGAAGTTGAAGACGATTGCATGGTAGATCCTGAACCCTTCTGGGGTGGTGAACACGATACCACCCCCGTATCCTCTAGGACCGGATGCCCCATCGACTGCCATCTCCCACCATTGCTCAGCGGGTTTGTTGACCGGTAGGTCTGGAGTTAGACCGGTCATTTCTACCAGAAAGTCAGCAAGGGCTTGTCCCTTGATTGCTGACCTTGGCCGGTACTCAATGTTGAATTGAGTTAACATCATCGCCCACTTCACCATCCTCCCGGAGGATGTTGAATTTCGCAACACTACACCCAGCGGTTGGTCAGTCAAGACTTCCACCGGGTGAGCTTGAAAGTAGGATTTTAACTTTTTCGCGGAGATGAAAAGCGCATAGGCTGTCTTTTCCATCACCGTATACCTACTCTCAGCTCCGTTTAGTGCTTTGCTCACATAATAAATGGGCTTCTGTGCCCAATCATATCTTATTAAAACGGAGTTTACAGCATTTGGGGAAATTCCCAGGTACAGATATAGAGTTTCACCATGCGCTGGTAGATTGCTCCTGAGTTCTTCAAGCCAAATGCCATTACCCGGTAGCAGTAGGTTCCTTCGGGTGTGAGGAATGATGTCTTCTCTTCATCTTCCTTGGCCATGTAGATTTGGTGGTAACCCTTGAAGGCATCCATGAAACTTAGGAGTTCGCACCCCGCAGTTTCGTCCACCATTTGATCTGGACTGGGAAGTGGGTATGAATCCATCGGACAAGCCTTGTTCAAGTCCGTATAATCCACACACATTCTCCACGTGTCGCCTTTGGGAGCAAGGACAACGTTGGCCAGCCAATCCGGGTATTTGACTTCCCGGATGTGACCAACACTGAGGAGGTCCTTCACTTCCTTCTTGACGAAGTCTCGCCGGTCACTGGCCAGGTACCGCTTCTTCTGACGTACCAGTCGACTTCCTTCCCTCACGGCCAACCGGTGGCAGATAACAGAGCGATCTATTCCGGGCATATCTGCCACGCTCCATGCGAATATGCCCGCGTATTCTTGTAGGACCCGTGAAATCTCTGCCTTGAGATCCTCGGGGAGATTTGCTCCAATTCTGACCATCCTTGACGAATCACCCGGGTGAAGTTCGATTTCCACCGTCTCGGCCTCGGGCTCCAGTTTCTCCCGAGTCTCTCCCTTTGTGATTTCTTGGGAGATGACATTGACCCCCTTGGTCATCTTCTTGATTGCCCGGGCATAGCATTCCTGGGCATTCCTCTGGTCACCCTTCACTTCACCCACACCACCTGGAGTGTGGAACTTCATGCATAGATGAGGCATGGAAATCACCGCCCCGACTCTGTTGATGCCTGGCCTCCCAAGGATTGCGTTGTGGACGCACTTAATGTCCACAACAATGAACCGCATCTTTTTCCACACGGTCTTCTCACCTGATCCTAGTTCGACCGGTAGAACAATAGATCCTTCAGCTTCAACGGTGTCTCCCATGAAGCCTGAGAGAGGGGTTTTGAGGGGTTCAAGTTGTGTCCGACACAACCTGAGTTTTTGGAAAGTCTCGAGGTATAAGATGTTGACACTGCTGCCGGTGTCAACAAGTACCCGGGCGACATCCACCCCATTAATGTCCATGGTGATGACCAATGGATCATTGTGATCTTCACCGGTAGGAGGGAGATCCCGGTCGGTAAAGACAATCGGCTCCCTTCTAGTATGCTTACGCCTGAGCGGTTCAGCACTTACCTCACCAACGTAAATGCTCCGGACCCAGTTCTTCCACTGCGCGGCTGAATCTCCACCCTCAGGTCCGCCGAAGATCATGCCGATGTGCTCTTTTTCGGGAGCAGGTTGCCGCTCCCTTGGCCGGCTATTCCTCCGTCGGTCGTTGTCTCGGTCATCTCCCGGGGCAGCTGGCCTAACCCATTAATGACTCTTCTCCTGGGCTTTCTGCAAGTAATCCTTGCCCAGCTCTCCACTGTCTATCATCTGCCGGATGACCCCCTTAACACTTTTGCATTCAGAGGTGTTATGAGAATCTGACCTAAGGTACGAACAATAGGTGCCCGACCACTGCCGCCCTGTTTGACCGGTAGGGTTTTCTGGAGGAATGACCGGTGCTTTCCGGATTTCTTGGCATTCTTCCGTATTGACCATACGGACGACCGGGTCATAGTGGTGTCTAGGCCGGTTAGGTCCCGGTGCTTCTTCCTTCTTGACTTGCACCGGCTTGGGCTTGTAACCATGCTCGGCTTCTTTCTTCGCCCGGAGTTGAGTTTCAGCCTCAGCAAACTCCCATGCAGTATGGTAGGCCTCTTGGTACGTGGCCGGGGGTTTCCGGCAGAACTCCTTGTATAGTTCCCCGGCACGCAAGCCATTCAAGAGGAGGGATAAGACGGTCTTGTCATCCATCTCTTCCACCTTGTCTACCTCTTCCTTCCACCGGGTAAGGAACTGAGTAAGGTTCTCAGACTCCCTCTGCCCGGCTGTACTAAGATAGGTGAATTTCTTCCTCTTAGTACAATTCTCCTGGAACTTGGCCTTAAACTTTGAGGCCAAATCACTGAACGAATCAATGCTTCCCGGGCGAAGCTTATTGAATCATTCAGTGGCTCGGTTCCGCAAGGTCTTGAAGAAAAGAAGGCACTTTTCTTCATCGGTGCAACCGTTTATGGTCGCACTCTGGTTAAAGGAGTCTAGATAGATTTCCGGATCTTCCTTCCTGGTGAATCTAGGGGCGTCGATCTTGACCTTTCGTGGGAAGGGTGTTAGATGGACCCTTGTGGTGAACGGGGACCCCGCCAGGGGTTTGTCCCGGTCATTCTTTTCCCTGACCTTCTTTTCCAGCCTTTCCAGTTTTGCCTCCATCTATTGGACGCGGTCATTTGGGATGGTTAACCCGGTTCGCCACCGGTAACCTGGGCTGGCTCTCTGCTTCCTCTTCCTAATGCGAGGCCCTCGTCCTCGCTGGCTCCTGCCGGTTTGACCGGGAGCGCCGGGTGCGGGCAGGCTCGGCCTCCCGCACCTCACCTAACCGGGCAAATGCGCTGACATGGGCGACGCTCTGCCCCAGCCTCTGTTTGGCTGACTTTCTTTGGCCCTCTTCCCTGTCCCCTAGCCTTTCGAAGGCGGAGTTTCGGGAAGTTGCTGGGCGGATAGTTTTTTCCTTCTTCTTCTTGTGGGCCCTCGGAATGTCCCACTCGCCGTCATCACTCTCAATTGAGACGCAATGACCATCAGGGGTGACTTGCGGATTCGTACCTTGCGGGGGACGCGACGGCCCTGCAGCGTTAAGCGCGCGAGTCAAGTTGACAGGGGCCATGGTGCTGACCAGCTACGGCTGGAAGGGTGATGGTTGTGGCATCGGCGTCTGGAACGACGTCACTGCCATTGGAGCTTGTAGGGGCACGGTTCCCGCGCCTGTAAGAGCGAACGGGAACATACCAGGAAGAAAAGGCATCCCCCCATTCTGTTGGCACATGGCCATGACCTGGCCAAAGCCCTGGATGGCTTGTAGGTTGGCAGGGTCATTCATGAACTGAGTCATGCTTGGTGGGAACGTGACCCTCGGTCTAGCAGAAGGGACGAGGGTCGTGAATGGGCTGATCACGCTAGGCGTTGGGACAGAGCTCAGACCCAAAGGCAACACTGGGGCAGAAATGACCGGCAGGGTAGCAGCCACAGGGATGCTGGTACCCTCATTGGTGGCTTGCACCTGAGTGGAAGTAGCGTTGATTTGTTGGCTTGAAGACATTTTGAATGGTGTTTTTGTGGGTAGGTTTGTGTTTAGAAGAGAAGAAACCTTAACGGTCCCACGGGTGGCGCCAAAAATGATGGTGTAAATTACTTGACCGGTCAAACTATACTAGATCGGGTCTAGAATAGTTTGCTTGATTTGGTAAAGTGAGAAAGGTAAAAACACGCAGATTGACCGGTAGGACTTTAGGTGGAACACCTGTAGCCCAATTTATATTATAACGGAGAATGCACGGGTGCTTTTACAAGGGAGTTTAGAGAGAGTGAATTCGGATCTCTCTTTCTGAGGTTTACATGAGTATTTATACTAGGCTATGGGGGACAAGACCACGTGCGCCCACGTGGGGGCATGCTGCTGATGTGGTGCGAGGTGACTGGTTTCGTCCTCGAGCTGCCTTGTCGCCTTGTGAGGGGGATTATTCCCTTTGTCGAGTAGTGCCTTGGATGGATTCTTCAGCATCTCCAGTTGTCTTCTACTGACATGGGTCGCTACACGCCAAGCCCTCTTAGATTCTCTTCTGCCGACACTTTCCAACCCTAGAAACTACACCGGGTAATCTCCTTGGGATGAAATCATCAAAGTTAGGGAAAAATAGGGTGACAAAGTAGTTTGACCGGTATACTTTTTCGTGAAGTATACCGGTCATCTTTGGGCTGATTACATATCGATTTGCTGACGATTTAAGTTTCCCTTCCAAAACTTTTGAGATTGACCGGTCAACTAATTGGTCTTCTCCTTTGACCGGTCGTGGGTGGAATACACCCATCAATAAGCCCTCCACTTCTCGGTCATGCAATTTGTCATGAGCGGGAAGTAAAAAGTCTGAAATAAGACTCCAATTTTGAAATTTTGGCTCTTCCCGCCTAAAATTTTTGAAATTTGAATTTCAAACATTGATTTTTGCCACGTGTCGCGCATCAACCGTTGCAATCAGTCGGCTGCAGACCCGTCGTTTCGCCTGCCAGTGGAAGTCGGTTTACACCCTAAGAGGGGGGTGAATTAGGGTGTTTGCAAATTTTTCGTAGAAAACAAAAACTTATGCGCAAAGTAGTAGCGGAAAAAGAGCAAGAAGGATATAAAGGATAAAAAATACGACACTGGCGATTTTATACTGGTTCGGGAACTCCCTACTCCAGTACCTCGAGGCTCCTCCTCAAGGATTTAACCTCCACTAACTTGTTTGGCTTCACTAAGAAGACTCAAATGAGGTTTGGCAAACAACCCTTGCCAATAAGCAAATGTGATTTTACTACGGCTATCTCAACCGTTTACAACCGAAGATTTTAAGGCTATCTTCAACCTTACAATGAGGATTTAGAGGCTATCCACACCTTTTTACAAATCAATAAAAAGATTGGTGTTGCTTCTCTACCAAAATGATAACAAATGTAAGTTGGGTAGGAGAAGAACAAAAGATTAAATCAACAACAACAAAAGCCTATAGGCAAGATATAAAATAATGAAGCACAAATGCCCTTGTGTGTGAGTGTACAAAAAGATGAAAGCTTTTTACTCAAAAGTGTAAGAAAAATAAGAACAAGGCTTTAAGAACACTCAAGAATAGAGAAAGAGGCTTTAGAATTAATTGGGAAGTTTTTTTTAAAATGAGGCTTAAAGGGGGTTTATATAGGAGTTTGGAATGTTAAAATTTCAGTTTTTGACGTTAAATGCCGTTAGGAAGTGATTAGGGGTGATTTGAATTTAAATTGGCAATTTGCTACAGTGCTGCCAACGGATC